CCTCCCATGTGCCAGGGACTTCTGCCCAGAGCCACACCCATACCCTGCTTTCTTTTAGAAGGGCTTCCTCTCCAACTCTAGTTCTCGGGGCACCGTGCTTTTCTCGTTGGAATATTGGGTTACAAGACAAATAAAAAGCCTGCTGGAAAGATGAAACCTTTGTGCAGGATGAATTAACCTCCAGTTTCAGGGGCCAGCATGAAGGAAAGGAATCTGGGAGTTGCTTTTTTTGTTTTGTTGCCTAGTCTTTCTCGAGATCCCTGAAACCCTGGTTTTGAAGAGGTTAGAATGTTCTCTACCACAACAGAAAGGGACTATGCAGAAGACATCATTGCAGCTGTTTACCACAACGTAGAGGCGTAGCAGAACCTGGATGATGGTTATCAGCGTTCTGAGGTCCCAGGGTTGATACGAAAGCTTCAAACTGTAAATGTGTACTGGGAGAGCAAACCACAGAGAGGATGTGCAGCATTCACTGTGACAGAAATGCACTCTTTGACCGTAAATTGTAATCCTCACAAACACAGAGCTAGGCACTTCCCTTCTCTACTTCTTACCTTAAATAAGTGTTGGGAAATTTTTGTTTGTTTATTTGATTTTTTTTTTTTTTTTTTTTTTTTTTTTTTTGGTTTTTTTGAGACAGGGTTTCTCTGTGTAGCTTTGCGCCTTTCCTGGAACTCGCTTTGGAGACCAGGCTGGCCTCGAACTCACAGAGATCCGCCTGGCTCTGCTTCCCGAGTGCTGGGATTAAAGGCGTGCGCCACCACCGCCCGGCTTATTTGATTTTTTAAAAGGCCCACGAATAGTGCATTTGCCTGTACTCTTATTAGCAAACGCATCAAACCCGACCTGCAGAAGGGCAATGCAAGCGGCTACTTGAGGCTAATCAGAGATTCCAGTATTCGTGTGCCTTTATTATCTGCTATTAAGTAACAAACAGCAGTTTGTCAGGGGTGAACTGAGACATTGTAGCCAGTCCTGCTTTCTAGTCTGAGGCCCAGTGACTCCAAGGCACTTGAGCAAAGTATACCACTGTTTTATATAATTGTCTTCGTTAGGGTTTCTGTTACTGTGAAGAGACACCAAGACCATAGTAACTCTTATAAAGGAAAACATTAAACATTGGGACTGGCTTACAGTTCAGAGGTTTAGTCCCTCATGGTCACGGCAGGAAGCATGGCAGCATGCAGGCAGACATGGTGCTGGAGAAGGAGCTGAGGGTCTTGAGCCATAGGCAGCAGAAGCCCTCTGTCACACGGGGGGGGGGGGGGGGGGGGGTTGGGGGGGTGGCTTGAACAAAGGAGACCTCAAGGCCCACCCCCACGGTGACACATTTCCTCCAACAGGGCCACACTCACTCCAACAAAGTCACACCTCCTAATAGTGCCACTCCCTATGGGGGCCATTTTCTTTCAAACTACCTCAATAATGGATAATACTAATATTCTTGTTACCTGGATTAGAATGTAAGAGACAGAGCCTTTAAATTACTCTTTAGATCTGTTGATTTGCACGCACGTGCACACACACACACACACACACACACACACACACACACACACCACTCTATTCTTGAGTTTTTTGAAGGACAATACTTTCCAAGACACCCCACTACATGAAAGCCTTAAGTCAAAGGCAATTCTGAAACCTGTAATGTACCTCCGATTCCCAGACACCCTTGCTCATGATAAAGCAGGGCTTATAATTAAGCCCAATGAGTGGCTGACAAGGACTAATAATTCAATGGCACGTTGACAGCACTGTAGTGTGGAACATTCCAGCACCACTACAGCCAAGCTTTGGGACCATTATTAAGTGAAATAGGGCTACTTGAATCATCTCTGTGATAACTGTGGATTCTCCTGTATAACTAATGGACACCTAGTGTATACATCATGGATACATTGAACAAAAGAACAATTTATAACATGGATGGGCTGGAACAGAACAGTGGGAGATGTCACCGCTTACAATTACAGCTTTTGGGTTTTTGTTGTTTGTTTGGGGTCTTTGGGGGAGGGAGGGAACATGTAGAGGTAAGAGAACAGCTTTTCAGAGTCAGTTCTTTCCATCAAGATAAAACTTAGACCATCAGGTTTAGCACCAAATGCCTTGACTCATGGAGCCATCTTGCCAGCCCAGCACACAGTTGTAAACTAAGAATTATTTCTAAAATTCCTGTCTACATCTTCAGGCTGCAGTTACCCATGGGTAAACAAAGCCCTGTTGAGGGGCGATGACCGAGGCGAGACTGGGCTGTGTCATCCTGATGCCCTTTCGCCTGGAGTCTGTTGGTTTAGATGGAGCTCCAGCGCTGGGCCTCAGGTCACTGTCACTGTGGTTCTGTTTGCTGTCTGAAGTCCAGAGCCATATCTGCACACACAGGGATCAGCTGAGTCACTGGGGCTGTGCAAGTGTAAAAAGGCCAGGTGGGTAGGGACTCACACTCAGCCACCTTCACCTGTCCCACAGCTGTGACCACAGAGGAGTCAAGGTGCCTGCACTGAGCCCTGGTAAAAGCAGAGGACACTGGGATAATTCTGCCCAGAAAAGAAAAAGGCAGGCACTTTTGTCCCCAAGAAAAGCAACAGAGGAGTCTTCAGCCTTTCACTGCGGCAGTCAGGAGGTAGGGGGGCTGATTGTCAAGTTCTCTGGGCGGGACAGTCCTCTTTCCTGCTGACTCTTCCAGCTCTCCTGAATACATCATACAAGATTGGTCTTCTCTCAGTGGTTCTGGGGCAACAGTATTCCATCTTCTCAAAGAAGAGGACTTTCTGGTAGAGACAGAGCATCTCTGGAAATGAAAGGGGAAAAAGACCATGCAAAGTCTCTGTCTGAATTCAGAGGGACCCCACTTCAGGCATCTCTAACCTGTTTTAATGTAAGTGGTTCTCACCACCTGACCGATCAGGGATCTGAGGACAAGGGCTGAAGGAGCCTCAGGTTGAGAGACATGAGCCTTGGTCTGGAGATGGAATGGTGGAATGGGTGGAATGCACACCGAGAGAGAGAGAGAGAGAGAGAGAGAGAGAGAGAGAGAGAGAGAGAGAGAGAGAGAGAGAGAGAGAAACACACATGCTGAGATACAAGCGCACAGAAATACACACACACACACACACACACACACACACACACACACACACACACACAGAGCATCCTCTCACTAGGATGGGTAAAGCTTGCTCTCTGGCACCCAGACTCTCAGGAAACATTCTCACAGAGACTTTGAGTCACACAGACCTTTACAGCCCAAAGAGGGAGATGGGTGGAAGCTGGTGTCTCTGTCCACAGGGCGTGGCTTCCATGGGTGGCTGTACTGGGGTCTCAGTGTCCCAGTGACTTCGGCTGGTGGAGGCTAGGTTGCCTCTCTTGGTGGAGGCTAGGTTGCCTCTCTTGAGATCTCTGGCAGTATCTGATGTGGGGTGATGAGATCTCTGGTCAGGGAGGGGCGGCCATGGAGGAGGCTATATCCGTGTGGTACTAGTTCCTGGTGTGAAGGAAGAAGCAGCGGTATCTCAGAGACTGGAGGTGGGGCTGGGGAGATCAGTGGGGTCCCTGCCAGACAGAAACAGTTTCCATATGAGATTCCTTCTCTGTGGAAGCCCCATGACTGGCCCTCTGTGTGGCCTGATATCTCTGGAAATGGCACCTGGTGGCCCAGTTCTCAACTTAAGGGGGCAGCTTTCAGCAGGAATAAACCTGGGGCCTCAGCAAACACGGATGGAGACCTAACCATCTGAAATTAGCAGATGGAGTGTGCACGGGTGTTTTTCTGAAGGGCTTCCCCTGCCTTGGGATTCCACTCCTATTCCGTTGCCCCGGTCCTGACCGGTCCTGACTGTAGTGTGTCCAATGAAACCTCCTCTGCCCTTGCTCCAAGAATAGGTTCATGTCCGTGCCAAGCTGGGCACTGCCCTAGGAAGGTGGAAGCTGAGAAGCCAGGCCACAATGCTGGGCTGGGATCTCTCTGTATTGGTTTGCAGATACCAAGTTCTTTTTTTTCTTCCTTCCGAGAGAAAAGACAAAAGACTTGGACTCGTGGGTGTGCAAGTACAGCTTGGATTTTCTGAAATGTAAGAGTGCATGCCCACAGAAACCGGAGATGTGGTTACCGAGGGCCCAGGATGGCTCGGGGACTAGGGAACTGACAGGCTCAGGGTGTAAGGTTTCTCTTTGTTGGGATGACAATATCTTAACATCAGCTGTGCAGATGCCTGCACATGTCCACAAGTACACTTGCCACTGTGCCTAACAAGGAGAGGGGCTTCATAACGAGGTGGGAGACATTGGCTAAGTTGCTGTCCTTGCAGAAGAACTTCTGTGTGGGGCTGTGGCGGCCACCGTGCAAGCTTAGGGTATGACAGTCCTTTCCCACAGCTACCGTCAGTCATGCGGAAGAGTTCTTTTCTCATAAGCTTTTTTTTTTTTTTTTTTTTAGTGGGGATGACACAAGAAGCCCCATTCTCACTCTGGCGACATTCACTTCTCTCACAGGACAAACATGAGTACGGCCGGTGGTGGGTCACACATTAGTTATTTACTGGTTGTTGTGAGAAAGTACCTGAGAAGAAGCAAGTTACGGGAGGGAGAATTGGTTTGGGCTGTGCTTAAGGTAGGGCCAATCACGGCAGGACAGACATGCTGACAGAAGCGGGTCCCTGGTCACACTGTGTCACCGTCAGGGAGCAGAGAGAGATGAGTGTGGCTGTCACCTCACTTTCTCCTTTCATTCAGCCTGGGGCTCTAGCACGTGGAATGGCCCCAACCAAACTCAGGGCGAGTCTTCCCACCTCGGTAGTTCACGTCTTCTGGAAACACTCTCACAGGCACACCCGGAGGCTTCTTGTCTCCCAGTGTTGAGACAAGCCAACAGCCAAGAGTAACATGGTACTCAGGATGCACCAGGGGAGAGCCTTGTGGGTAACTGGAGTCTCTGGAGAGCCAGGCGCCAGGTTCTGGCCAGGTTGCTCCTCTACCGATGTCCCCTCTTCGTCACCCAGGTGTCATGTGGCTGGAACTTCTCCTGGCTTCGGTGCTGGGCCTTGTCATCTACTGGTTTGTCTCCCGGGACAAGGAAGAAACCTTGCCACTTGAAGATGGCTGGTGGGGCCCAGGGTCGAAGCCCTCAGCCAGAGAAGATGAGAGCATCCGGCCTTTCAAGGTGGAGACATCAGACGAGGAGATCAAGGTGAGACGCCCTTTCCCAGCCTGGGTAGAAACCAAAGGGGCAGACTGGCTGTGGGTTCCTTAAACCTGAACAGGAACGTGGTTGAAGATGGAGCTTTGGAAATGGACTGTCTTGAGGTTTTATCTGTCCACTCTTCCCCCTGAGGGCAGGTGCATTTTGCTCCTAAAAGGTATTTCCTACTTACTAACCCCATCTCTCTAGCTACTTTTTCTCCTCAACACAAGACCCAGAAGGGCTGCTGACAGAACCATTGTGTGCAGCAGAGACCAAAGAAAGCTTCTGTCCCCCTCCCGTCCTGCCCACTTGCGGCAGGTACAGAGTTTAAGGGAGAAAGCGAACAGACGCCCAAGGCAGATGTGGAAGTCACAGCTATAGATGGATGTAGTAATCAGGAAATACAGTAGCACGGAGACCACAGGGTCGGCCTTGGGCAGGCCCCCACTGTGTGGACCACTCCTGGGCCCATCATAGCCTTACACCAAGCCTGACCATTGTCACTTGCTGTTCCAGCCCTCAGAGGTGGGCCCTGAAGCTGAGAATGGTACAGCAGTATGTTGTAGAATAGTATTTTAAGATGTGTTACTTTTGTTTATGTTGCATTTGTTTAACTCTGTGAAGCTGTGTTACTGTGCCTGTCTACAACACCTGATGGTCTAATAAAGAACTGAACAGCCAATAGTGAGACAGGAGAAAGGATAGGCAGGGCTGGCAGGCAGAGAGAGGATAAATAGAAGGAGAAATCTGGAGGAGGAAAGGATCAAGGAACAAGAGAGAAGGAGGAGAAGAACACCAGGGGCCAGCCACCCAGCTACACAGCCAGCCACGGAGTAAGAGTGAAAGTAAGATTATAGAAGTGAGAAAAAGAAAAAGCCCAGAGGCAAAAGGTAGATGGGATAATTTAAAGTTAAAAAAATCTGGCCAGGTGGTGGTGGCACACACTTTTAATCCCAGCACTCAGGAGGCAGAGCCAGGTGGATCTTTGTGAGTTTGAGGCCAGCCTGGTCTACAGAGCGAGATCCAGGAAAGGCGCAAAGCTACACAGAGAAACCCTGTCTTGAAAAACCAAAAAAAAAAAAATTTGACAAGAAACAAGCCAAGCTAAGGCCGTATATTTGTAATTGAGAATAAGCCTCCATGTGTGATTTATTTGGGAGCTGGGTGGTGGGCCCCCCAAAAAGAGCAAAAGCAAGCAACAACTGCAGTGTGTTCCTGGCCCTTCCACACAGAGTTGGAGTCAGAAAGGAAGGGCCAGTGGGTAGAGGGAAGAGAGAAGGAAGTCTTCTGGAGGAGCCAGACTCAAGTAGGGTCACAGGGGGCAGACCTTCCACAGCCCATCCTTTCCTTCCCCATGTGGTCCTTAAGCAGCTACTGTGGCAGGTGCTCTGCAGTGTATTTGGAGAACAGAGACCCTTTCCTCACACAGCCAGCATTTAGCTTCCATCCATGAAAAGGGAGTACATCCAAAGATACAGCGACCCACACATCAGTAGAGATTAACATCATTGAGCACTAGCAAAAGGTCACAAAAGTTCCCAGGAGGAAGGAATTGAGACCAGGAACTGGACTGAAGCCAAGAGCAAGTGGCTGAGGTTCCTGTGTGGGACACACTGGGCCCTTGCTGCTGAGGGCGGAAGCTGAGCTCTGAGGCTCATCCTGAAATGAGCCAGGACGTGGAAGGAGTCTAAGGTTTCCAAACCTGTTTGGGGGAGGCCAAGGGACATGAAAACCTCTGGGAAAAATGACACCTGAGCCACTCCATGAGGCAACAGGCACGTCCCTCAGCTGGAATGTTGAACTTTTAACTGGATCCACTCTATTTGGACCCTGTATCCTGGGCAGTCCTTTTTATCTGAGTTAGGATCATTCGTTGCTGTACATCAAGGGCTGGCACACCGTGGCTCAAGGCCGAGTGTAGCCTACCACTTGTATTTTAATTGCCCAGTGAATAAACTTTTGCATCCTTAAAGGGGTATGGAAAAAAAAACAAAAGAAAAAATAATAATTTAAGTCATGCAATGATTGTATGGCATTTGAGTTTTAGTCCTGTGTGTAAGTTTAACTGGAGCATGGCCTCACTGCTCATGCAGGGATCATGTGTGGCCACAACCTCACTGTTCATGCAGGGGTCATCTGTGGCAGCTCCTCCACTTCAGGGAATGAATAGAGAGCTTGCATCTTGCCTAAAAAGTTGCTATGTGACTCTTTACAAAGCTTTCCAGTTCCAAACCTATAGATGGCTTGGTGTATTAAGAGTATTGTTCGCACACCTGAGAAATGAAAAGATGGCTGGGATGGAGCTAAAAGGGAGAACACATCATGTGTGGCCTGTGCAAAGCCTTCCATCCCCTCCCTGAACCTCCCATTCCACCAAAACAAAGAGATGAAAGGATTCTGAAGTCCACAGGGAAGAACCATCAGCCTCTCAGGGATCCACTGTGTGGCCCCTCCGTGGTGCCCATCTATGGCTGCAGGGTTCACGCTGAGTTGTGGACACAAGCTCTGCCCTGCCTCTGCCCACCCACCCTGGCTTCTTCCCTGCAGGACTTACACCAGAGGATTGACAGGTTCCGGGCATCCCCGCCTTTGGAGGGCAGCCGCTTCCACTATGGCTTCAACTCCAGCTACCTGAAGAAAGTGGTGTCCTTCTGGAGAAACGAGTTTGACTGGAGGAAGCAGGTGGAGATCCTCAACCAGTACCCCCACTTCAAGACCAAGATTGAAGGTGAGTTTCCAGAACACCAGCCTGGGAGGCGGGGGGTGTGAGTCACGGGAGCAGCCTTCCTTCGAGATGAGTGGCCCCAAGTCAATCATGTGGTAGCACCCCAGAATCTAGTGGAAGGTCACTGAGATGTTGTGGTTCACTATCTTGCCAGGATGTACAAATAATGCCAAGTCAACAAACCATCAGTGTGTACAACCAGACATGAGGGCAGAACACTGACTTTGCAACCAGAGACCTGCAAAGTCCAGTTAGCAATATAGAGATCCTTGAGCAGCGTCTATAAGCCTGGGGTCTGAGCATGACCTGAATCTGCTCAGTTCCTGCTGGAGTTTTGGGGTAGGCAATTCTATGGGGTGCTCCATGGTCAATCCTATGATAAACTGTCCTGTCCAACTATAGCCCTCAACCTTATGACCAAGTCCTCCCACACACTGTCACTCAGACTAGCCATGAAGACACAAAGTTAACTCTATTTCCAGGAAGGGTGACCCCAGGATCATTTTGTCTGAATTAATAGATCCTTAATAGAAAACAAAATTTTGACAACAGTTGATTAAGCAGGGAATCTTTAGTAAAATTAAACCATGCTGTTAATTTTTTAACCCATTTATTTTTATTGTGGTAAAATGCATGTAACATAACATTCTCTGGTCTTGGTGATCTTTAAGTACACAGTTCAGTGGCTCAGTGGCAAGAAGTGTGTAGTTCCATGGCATGAAGATGATTCATTGTTAGGCAGGATATTTCCAGAAGTTTTCCACCATCCCGCACTGAAACTCTGCCCTGTCACACCCCAGCCCACACCTCTCGCCCTACCGCAGCCCTCGGCAGCCCACCTTCCTATTCTGTGAATTTGTGTACTCTAGATTACTCACATAACTGAATCACGCAAGTGGTTTTCTCCATTTGTGCCTGGCTTCTTATTCTGTCTTCATCTCCTTGGCAGCTGTCAGAATTTTGCTGTTTTTTGACTCATGCATGCTAGGTGAGAACTCTACTGCTCTTCCCTATATCCCGCCCTCTTCTTACCTTTCAAGGCTACAAATTCTGTAGTATGAATGAGACATTTTCTTTATCCACTCATCCACCCAAGGACACCTTTGCTGTTGTGAATAACACAGAACACAAGTGTACACTCACCCCTGAAGACCCTGCTTACAGCTAGGCCAGGCACAATGCTGCATGTCTATAATCTCAGTGCTTTAGAGGTGGGGACAGGAGGATCAAGGGTTCAAGGTCAAAGTAGGCTATCTACATATGACCCTGTTTCAAAACACAGGACAAAACAAAGTGAATGACTCTTCAACTATTTGTGCTGCCATCCAGAAATGGCAATGCTGAATCAGAGAGAAACTCTATACTCAATTTTGTGAGACACCGCCATGGTGTTTCCATCAGCAACAGAAACATTTTACATTCCCTCCAGAGTGCACAGATGTTCCAAATTCTCCACATCCTCCCCCAAGGCTTGTTAATTCCTGGGATTTGTGACAGTAGCCGTGCTAATGGGTATGGATTGATATCTTCAATGTGTGTGTGTGTGTGTGTGTGTGTGTGTGTGTGTGTGTGTGTGTGTATTGTAATTTTGTTTGTGGTGATACAGACATGTTATTCACCATGAATAATGGTATCAAGCATCTTTTCCTTGCATAATAATCATTTTCAGATCTTTGAAGAAATGTGTGTTCAAATCCTTTGCCCATTGTTTTAGGATGCTGTTTCACTGTATGGTCCAGGCTGGTCTGAATTTGGGAGCATAAATGATTCTCCTGCCTCAGCCTCCCAAGTAGCTGGGGCTGTAGGTGGAGTTTGGAGTTACTGTGTGATCAAGTTTCACTCTTCATGAGTACTGCTATGCTGGTCTCCGGATCCTGGCATCTCCTGCCGTGACTTTATCAAGAGCATTCAAGCCGCTTTACCAAAGCCCCTCTGTTCAGACTGATGTACCAGTCCCCACAGGTTGTCATTTAAAGCCAAATGGCACCACTTCTTGGGCTCAGACGTGGATCTCTCTGCTGTCTCAACTTTCCTGTGTCCATGCAGCAGATATGAACAGTGTCCTTCTCCAGCCCAGGCACTGTGCTTGGGTGGGATGGACAGTTAGAAAGGACAAGGTTCCAGCCTTCCTGCCTCACAGTTCATGGTTAGGGGCAGAAAGAAGAAGGTTCCTCCAATTGTGAGGAAGGGCTTCTTGGAAGAAGGATCCACTACACCAAGATAAATAGGAGCTAGCCAAGTGTGAGGGACAGGTGGGCCAAGGATGAAGAATAAGACAGAGTCCAGGGGCAGGAGGTGCCAAGGGCTGTTTTCTTTCTGGGTGACAAACCCCAGTGACCTCTGGATACCCTAGTCACTGTTACAACACAAAGTTTCCTCAGGGTGCAAGTGCTCCAAGATGCCAGCGGTGGCACATGCCTTTAATCCCAGCACTCGGGAGGCAGAGCCAGGCAGATCTCTGTGAGTTCCAGGCCAGTCTGGTCTACAGAGCGAGATCTAAGACAGACACCAAAACTACACAGAGAAACCCTGTCTTGAAAAAAAAATGCTCCAAGAAGACAGTTCCAGCCTGGAGTTCACCTCTGAGCAGTTCTGTGCACTTTTCCCAGGCCTGGTCCTGGCAGAATGGGTTCTGTCTCTTGACCTTAGACATGGTTCTCTGCCCTGCCCTATGGGGCCATGTACCAGCTTCAGCCCTCATACCTAGCAAGTCTTCCCTTCCACTCCTTTCCTGGGCCCCACAGTCTGGGGTGGCTCACCCTGTCCCCTGCCATCCCCCTGCCTTGTGCTGTGCTATGTGGGACCCTCCATGTCCCCAGTGTCTGCGCTTCAGTCTCAGACACCTTCCCCAGTGGTGTGTCCAGGTCCTCACTATCCTGTGGAGCTCCCTGTCCTACCATTTCTGCTTGCTCTAACAAGCCACCAGACCCACCTCTGTCCCTGGCCTCCTGATAGGATGGCCAAGGCCACTGCAAAGAGTCTGAGGGCTTCAGAGGCTGATGACTAAGTTCACTCGACCGTCCAGGGAGGAGACAGCTGCCCCTGAGACTGGCAAGTGGGGGTGCAAGCCCAGGCAGGTGCCCAGACTCCTCATCTGACTTCTACCCTTTTCCTCCTCCCCCCCCCCCATCACTGTCCAGGGAACTTAGGCTCTCTGCCAGTGACACCCCCAACCTCATGACTCCCCCGCTTCTCTCCAGACCCAGTATTGCCTTCCTGCACCCACTATGGATTTGTGGGCTGTTGTCCCACAGGAGATCCAACCAAAGCCTTTCCTTTCATAAAGGAAGTGGACCCATGAGGTCACCTCGGCACTACAGGATTTTAACAGTGTCCTCGGGCTGGAATTTGGCCCGGTTAGGTAGCATGTGCAAGACACTGGGCTCTATATTTAATACTAGTAAGAATTAATAATGACGATAATAACTTTACATTTTTACAATACAGCTGTTATGGGGAACGCAGATAAAGGCGAGGATTCCTGTCAGTGTGTTCCCATCCCAGATCCAAATTCTGCTCTAACAGAATTACATGAGGGAGAGCCCTATGGGTGTGTATTTCTTTTTTCTAATTTTAAAATCAGATGATATGATACTAAAATTGGAATCCAAAATAGCCTCATACCATGCAGTTTAGTCCAAAAATCATAAAAATACCCAGTAAAATAAACTTGAAGATGGCAGTAAGTTGAGCAACAGAGAAGGAGCCTGGGAGATATTGCTAAGTGGGAAAAGCAACATTCCCAAATAGAACAGGCACAGCTGCTTAGTGTTGTTAAAAGGAAGACATGTTCTAGAAGCGTTTCTTGAAAATGTGGACTACGTTAAAGGAAGCCTCAGAACACAAGTCAGGCCCTGGGAAGGATCCTGAGAAGGAGGTCAGATTAAAGCCGAGAAGCCCTGGATGGCACAGCACCAGATGTACGTACCAACATCATACAGCTTTCAGAGCGAGAAAACGAAGCAGTGTGGTCGTCTATTATCCTAGCACTTGGAAGGCAGAGGCACGGGGATGGAAAGTTGAAGGTCAACCTGGGACAGTGATAAGGAAAAAACTCTGCAATGTGACACCATGGACAAAACTTAAGGATATTTTTTATATTGTCCTGAGTGACAGGTGTCAGTCACAAAGGAGTAGATTCTTGAGGATTCCACCTATGTGAGGTGTCTGAAACAGAAACATACAGAAACAGACAAACTAGACTGGGGAGATGCTAAAACTGTGTAGGATGTCGTGGTAATGGCAGATGTGTGAGTTCTAGGGACTGCTTGCTCTGCTTTTTATCGCCATAGTGACCAGTGCTGCCGGCGAGGGGTGTGACTCAATGGTGGGCCATTTGCCTAGAATATGCAGGGCCTGGGACAAAGTCCCAGCACTACAGAGTGAATGGATGAAATTTCTAATGAATAATTTTGAGGACTTAAAAGGTTTAGTGTTGGGGCTAGAGAGACAGGCTCAACAGTTAAGAACACTTCTTGTTCTTGTAGGGACCCAGAGTTCCCTGCACCCACATGATGGCTCGCTGTAAATGAGTTTTCCCATCCCAGAAGCCAATTCCAAACTACCACACAGAGGCTGAATATGAATTATAAATGATCGGCCAATAGCTCAGGCTTGTTACTAACTAGCTCTTACAACTTAAATTAACTCATTTCTATTAATCTATATATTGCCACATGGCTCGTGGCTTTACCTGTCCTCTAGCATGTCTTGCTTCCTTAGTGGTTGGCTGGCATCTCTCCTGACTCAGCCCTCCTTCTTCCCATCATTCTCAGTTTGGCTTTCCTGCTTAACTTCCTGCCCAGCTACCTGTTTGTCAGATTTTTATTAACCAATGAGAGTAATACATATTCACACTGTAGAAAAGGATTGTTCCACAGCAGCTTACAACCATCTGTAATCCCAGTTCCAGGAGATCAAGTCCGCTCTTTTGACCTTTACAAGCACCAGGCATTTATGTGGTATACAGATATACATTCAATCAAAATACTCATAAGCATACAATAAAATAATCTAAAAAAAAGTTTGGTTTTATAATTGGAAAATGATAAGAAATGCTTCAGCCAATACATATATCAAAAGAACAAAATTAAAGTACTCAGTTATATCACAGCACTTATTCTCTCTCAGGAATGGCACACAGGGAACAAGATTCCCCAGGACCTCAGCCTCCACTACAGCAGGACCCTCCTCCCCTCACCCTGACTGTGCTCTGTCCTTCACCCTGACTGCTCTGTCCCCAGGACTGGACATCCACTTCATCCATGTGAAGCCTCCCCAGCTGCCCTCAGGCCGCACCCCAAAGCCCTTGCTGATGGTGCATGGCTGGCCCGGCTCCTTCTATGAGTTTTACAAGATCATCCCGCTGCTGACTGACCCCAAGACCCACGGCCTGAGTGACGAGCACGTGTTTGAAGTCATCTGTCCCTCCATTCCTGGCTATGGCTTCTCAGAGGCATCCAGCAAGAAAGGTACAGGGTGCCGGAGGGTAGCACATCCCAGACCATGCTCTGTTCTCACCAGCACCTGCTAGGGGCATCACCACCCTGAGCCCTGTGCCACTGTGTGGCTCACAAACCTTTCAGTGGCTGCAGTGCCTCAAGGGTGGCAGGACCAGGCACACTGCCCTGTGGTCTGGGTCGTCCTCAGGATACCAGGGCTCCTTCTTTCCGGTCTCCTGTGAGCTATTTTCTCCTCAGGTGGGGACAGAAAGGTCTGGGGAATTTCACAGACACCTGAGCACTACCCATGTCTCCCCTGTGTAAGGCTCATCATACTGTTGTATGTGTCCTGTGCTGTTTGAGCTCACAGTGAAGCTGCCTCTGGAAGCAAAGATGTCGACACCCCTATCCTGACACCCTAGTTCAGACTCAAGTGTGTTTATCTCATTGTCCTTCAGGACACTCAGTCCTGGGTCAGGCTGGCCCCTGCCTCTGTAGCGGGAAGAGGGAAACATGGCAAGCAGCTAAGAATATTAAAAACAGCCGGGCGGTGGTGGCGCACGCCATTAATCCCAGCACTCGGGAGGCAGAGCCAGGCGGATCTCTGTGAGTTCGAGGCCAGCCTGGGCTACCAAGTGAGTTCCAGGAAAGGCGCAAAGCTACACAGAGGAACCCTGTCTCGAAAAACCAAAAAAAAAAAAAAAAAAAAAGAATATTAAGAACATTGCGTCCTTGAGGACAGCAAGAAGGCAGTTATTTCCAACAGGCACGGCTATGTTTATTCCACGGCACAAAAATGCCTGCAGTGGGACGCTCGTCCATGGAGAGAAAGCTCTCCACTGGGAATTCTAGCTGACTGCCTCAGTTTCCCTCTTTGATTTCTGCAGGATGTTTAGGTCTCTTTATTGCTTGCTTTCTCAGGCAAGTGCCTCCTCTCATCTCTCCAGCCTGTTGTAAATTTCTGATATGATGATGTTTTGCTATTTTATCTGCTGCTGTACCTAAACTCCTTCATTCGAAGCCCAAAGTACAGCCACCGTAGACCATTCTCCGGACTGTACAGAACACCCTGTCTGTCCCCTTCACACTCAGGGTTCAATTCGGTGGCCACTGCCAGGATCTTCTACAAGCTGATGTCGCGGCTGGGCTTCCAGAAATTCTACATTCAAGGCGGGGACTGGGGGTCCCTCATCTGCACCAACATGGCCCAGATGGTTCCCAAGTGAGTCGGTGAAGTCGTGCAGGCATGGCACAGCACAGCCTCACCGGTATCTGTGTGTGTACAGCGTCTACACAGAGCACAGGGCTGTTTACATTAGGCCCTCTTCAGCAATGTCCAAGACACTGGAGCTCCCCTTAGCCAGGCCCCCACAGGCCCAGATGCAGGTGGGCCTGGAGCAGAGGAAACAGATCTCCCCCTCATTAGGTGGGAGAGGGTGTGTTGACCCCATCCTCTCCTTGGGGTAACTGGGGCGGCTGTCTGAAGCAGAGGATGAGGTCTGTATTAGACTACGTGGGATAAGATCCACAACAGCCCTGACCAGAATACTCTAGCAAAATTCCCTCCTCCCCAACCACTCACCTCCAACTCAGGGGATACCCCCGAGGGACAGGTGCCAAAGGAGGCTGGCTCTCCAGGCCTGTCCCTTCCTCCCCCATCCCCTCTCACACCTGTCCTTCACAGCAGCCAGACTTACCTGTGCCCATTCCTCTGCCCACAGCCACGTGAAAGGCCTGCACTTGAACATGGCTTTCATCTCAAGAAGTATTTACACCCTGACCCCTCTCCTGGGCCGGCGTTTCGGGAGATTTCTTGGCTACACTGAGAGGGATATCGAGCTGTTGTACCCCTTCAAGGAGAAGGCTTTCTACAGCATCATGAGGGAGAGTGGCTACCTACACATCCAGGCCACCAAGCCAGACACCGTGGGTAAGCACACCAGGGCAGGGGCACAGAGGGAATCCCACTGCCCCTGAGAACACGGCTTTCAGAAAGAAAGCCCCAATAAGGAGCACAGGACTCTGATTTCCATGCTGAGAACTGAACCCAGGGCATCTCACATGCCAGATAAGGGATCTGCCACTCATCACAGCCATAATCCTGTATATGAGAGGCACAGGCTAGGAGAACCCCACAAGTTTTAGGCCGGCCTAGTCTACACAGTGAGTTCCAAGCCATCCTGGGCTGTCACAAAAAAAGAAAAAGGAAACGAGGAAGAGAAGGAGGGAAGAAAAAAAAGAAACTAAAACTTTTAATTCATAATGAAATTGACAAGATGATCAAACAAACCATAGTTTGTTCAAAGGTATTTAGAATACAAAAGTGTTTTCTAATGGATACAGAACTCATTAACGTCTGCAAGTAGCCAGGCCTGGTGGCGCATGCAGGCCTGTAATCCCAGCAGCTCTGGAGGCTGCAGCTAGACAATCCAAAAAGTCCAGGCCTGCCTGGGTGGCTTACTCTGAGACCTGATCTCAGAGTAAACAGAGTAACCATGTGGGGGAGGCATCTCAATGGGAGAGTGTTTGCCTTGAAACCGTTAAGTCCCTGGGCCCAATCCCCCAGTATAAAAGAAAAATTACCACTGGAAAAAATGTCTTTCTTCTTGATAGACCAGAATCATTTGTGTTTTCCTGGTTTTCTATCGTTTACAGAGCTGTAAAGTAGCGAAAAGACAAGGGAAGTTGGGACCCCCTAAGACAGTGGTTCTCAACCCTCCCAATGCTGTGACCCTTTAAGGCAGTTCCTCATGTTGGACCTCATGGTTCCTCCAACCATAAAAGTATTTTTGTTGCTACTTCATAACTATATTTTTGCTACTGTTATGAATCGTGTTGTAAATATGGGCTGTGCAGGATATCTGACCTGTGACCCCTATGAAAGAGTTGCTCAACCCCCAAGAGGGTCACATTCCACAGGTTGAGAAGCACTGCCTTAGCTGATCCGAGACTGTCAGGTGTCCTCTGAATGTCCCCCAAGTCCACTCAGAGGACCCTGGGAATCATTTTGCTCACCTCAGAGCCTCCCACAGTTCCCATGACATCCCATACCCACACCAAGGACAGCTCCTAACCATAACAGCACTTTACAAAGTCAGGTTTCCTTCCCAATTGTGAAGCAGATGTTCATCGTTTGACTAGAAATGCAAAAAATGCAAAAAACAAACAAACAAACAAGCAAACACACAAAGCAGATAAATCAGTCTCCAGCTCTCGTGCCTTCCAGCGGTACTCTCCAGAAGAGCTTGCCAACATTGTCCCTTACACATGCTGTAAATGCAGATCCCCATGTGTCCAGACACAGATGACGGCCTTTCAGGACCTGAACGGGTCCCCCCACCTCCTCTAAGTGTCCTAGGGTGCTGTTGCCTGTACTTGCCCTTCTGGTGACTGGACTACTCAGCATGGACTCTGCATTCTTGCTCCTTTTCTCAACATGACTTTTGTGAGGATTTATACTGTTATCCCAGCTGTGGTATTTAATGCTGCGATGCATGTGTTCTATACTGTTATCCCAGCTGTGGTATTTAATGCTGCGATGCATGTGTTCTATGATGTTATCCCAGCTGCAGTATTTAATGCTGCGATGCATGTGTTCTATACTGTTATCCCAGTCATGATATTTAATGCTGCGATGCATGTGTTCTATGATGTTATCCCAGCTGTGGTATTTAATGCTTCGATGCATGTGTTCTACACTGTTATCCCAGTCATGATATTTAAGGCTGGGCATGACACCTGGAGCCTCAAGGGTGCTAAGCATGTGCTGCTCCACTGATCTCCCCTGTCCCCTGTTATTTCAATGACTGGGATAGTATTTTAGCTCATGGGTACATCAATATTTGTTTGTAACCAACTGTCCTATTTTTGACCAAGATACAGCCCATATAGTCTGTGAATCCCACGAGATGATGGGAATATTGATCTCTACTTGCTCAATGGGGCTGCTCAGGCCAGGGCTCCAGAAATGGGGTGCATGGCTGGGCCTGCTGCTGCTCTGTGGCACCCACACACCTCCGTCCTGGAGTCATACTCCCTGGGGCCAGGCTTCAATGCCTTCCTTGCTTCTTCCCATCCAGGCTGTGCTCTGAACGACTCGCCCGTGGGCCTGGCTGCCTACATCTTAGAAAAGTTCTCCACCTGGACCAAGTCAGAATACCGTGAACTGGAGGATGGAGGCCTGGAGAGGTGAGGCCCCACCACCACCCTGCTGTCAGACCAGATCCCCAGGCTCTCTGCCTCTCTCGGCCTGCCATTCCCTCTGTTTCCAAGCACTCCATGGGGAAAGCTAACAAGCTTCTTTAGTCCTGGCTTGCTGCACCTCCTGCCCCATGACCAATGGAGTCCTGTATAGAGGAGGGGGAGGTAGAGGCAAGAAAGGTCCAGTGACTTGTTCAGCCTCCCAGTTGGTGGTGAGACAAAATATGTGTGCCAGGAAGTCCCCAAAGTAGCCAACACCCTTTTAGCTGAACCCTCTCTCATGGGACCCATATAGCCTGTGAGCTCTATGAAAAACCAATGGGAAGGGGCAGGGTTGTAAGAGTGCACTCATGTGTGCCTCTGACACACCACTGTGTCAGAGGAGCTTAGCACTGATGCCGAGCTCATTTGTGGCATGATCACATTCAGGGGCAGACTGTGAGACATCCAAGTGAGGGTGTGTCCATTCAGAGCCTGGATCCCCAGAGGTAGAGCTTGGGTAAAATATCATAAGGAAGAGACAGTCCGGTGTGATCTGGTTAAATATCACAGAAAATGTGGGTGGTGGCATCTAGGGATGCTGGGAAGTCTTGTTGACTACAGAGGAGGGAAAGGAAGGACAGAGGGATGGGACAGACAGACTAAAAGGACAGAGTCTGATAAGAGCTCACTCCTACAGACCTTAGCAATAAGAGCAGTTTCAGGAAGCAGGACTGAGAAAGGATGGAGTTGAGGGTAGAGCAGAGTGGAGATGGAGAGATGGGAAGGGCAGCTGGGAGAAGGGGCCCAGGGGCACCGTGAGACCAGATAGTGTGGCTAGCCCAGGAGGAGGAAGAAGCCAGCGTGGACAAGGAGGCCGATGGGTGATTCAGGGGCCAACACTGGCAGATCACAACTCTAGGGCAGAAAAACCGGAAATGCCAGGCCCAGACTCGTCTGCCAGACTAAGATAGTCTCAGAAAGGGCAACCAGGGAGGTGGGACTGTGATAGACTTGTGACCCATCAGGACACGTCCAAGGGCCTTTGGAGGAGTCAGCAACTGGGATCCAGTGGGGTCGGTCAGCAGGGTTCGGAGGTCACTTGGGGCTGTAGCTAGTCACAGTTAAGACTCATAAGACCACAGGGCTGAATCTCTGAGGTCAGCAAGTGTCACAGAAGGAATGGCAGCATTCTGCAGTGGAGGGTCAAAACAGAGGCCCTTCTACAAGACAGACAGCTACCAGGGATCGCTGGAGCTGCGGAAGGTCACGCCCTTGAGTGGCAACTCTAACTCATCAACCCTTCCCTGGGCTCCCAGCATATGAGAGCTAGACCTTACCTGATGTCTCAGCCTGAAGGGGCGGCCCTCTGTTCCCGACAGCCATGGCTTTCACTGAGCCTGGACATCCTGTGCTCTTTCCCAGGAAGTTCTCCCTGGAAGATCTGCTGACCAACATCATGATCTACTGGACAACAGGAACCATTGTCTCCTCCCAGCGCTTCTACAAGGAGAACTTGGGCCAGGGCATCAATGTCCATAGGCATGAGAGGTAAGCCGGGCTGAACAGGGAGGGGGCCTCTGGGGATGGGGCTCCGGCTGGGAGCCACTTGGCCTTTAATCCAAAGAAGGTGTGATGGCATCAGATGTTCTCGGGATCCTGGTCTGCTGGGACAGAGGCACTGGGATCTGCAAGGTCCACATGGAGACCTTCAAGTGACATCAAGACTAGCGGAGTGGGCATTTAGAGGCTCACGTGACCTGTCACATGGTCCTCCCAAGCAGAGAGGGTCCTTAGTGAATGAAAAGTAGGGACTATAATGGAAGGGTAGTGTAACCCCTTGTCTCTAGGGCTCCATATGACCTCGCTGAGTCCTCCCCAGGCCATAGCAGTCTCCTCTGGAAACAGAAGAACACAGCGCCTCAGCCTCATCCCCCCCGCCCTCTTCCTCACAGGATGAAGGTCTTCGTGCCCACCGGCTATTCCGCTTTCCCTTCCGAGCTACTGCACGCTCCAGAAAAGTGGGTGAAGGTCAAGTACCCCAAGCTCATCTCCTATTCCTACATGGAAAGTGGGGGCCACTTTGCTGCCTTTGAAGAGCCCAAGCTTCTGGCCCAGGACATCCGCAAGTTCGTGTCCCTGGCTGAGCTGCAGTAATGACCCTAGATACCAACCAAGGCTTTAGTTACAGCCCTGGTTCCTCCCAAGTCACACGGAGGGGAGATGACCCCTTTCTAAAGAATAAGTTTTTGCCCCCTGACCACACTAAGGGCCCTGACTTAACCCCTCACAGAGTCACCTCTCACCACCCCCACGTGGATCACCCCACTACACACCTGTGTTAAGCTACTTTGCTTTGATGATAAATGGTTTTATTTCTAAGAGTGTCTGGACCAAATGCCATGTATTTCTTAGACACCCACATGGGGCTTCCCTTCCAAAAGAGAGTTGCCGGGTGCCCCCTCCCCCATCATGGAGTCCTGCTGGACCCTCTGAACCTGGCCCTGCTCACTAGGGCAGAGAGGCAGTTAGATGCCACCAGGGGTCAAGGCTGTGCTCCAGGAGACTGCTAGCATCTCCTGAGCCACTCACGGTGCACAGGCCACTGGGAACAGAAGTTTTGTGGCTGGCCGTTGTCCTGTGAGAAGATCTGAGTATCTCAGACCCAGCCAGCCCTCCAGATGAGCCCAGAGAGGTCTGCAAAGCTGTGTTGGTCCAATGGTCCTCTGGCTGAGGTGTAGGGAAGGCTCACCCGTGCTTGGATCTGTGCCGCCAGAGCAGGACCTCCTTCTCTACCCTGAAGGATCTCCCCATCATGATCCTGTACCTCAGGCATTCCCCAGAGGACAGCAGAGAGGATGCTCTTTGCCAAAAGCAGCTGCCCAGCTCCAAGCCCCAACTGGGGAAACACAAGGGACGGCCTGACCTTCTGCGGGTTGCAGCTTCAGACTGAGGACACCCCAACACTCAACCTGGGCACCCCACTCTCCAACTCCCACGCTGTCTTCATATCCTCCCGTGAGCCCCATGGCACTGCCTCTCACTTTAGAAGGGACAGACACTGAGGTGGGGTCTCACCAGCTGGGCCCAGTGGAACTTTATTCATAGGCCTCACTGTCTGTGCTTTCTCTGTGATGACCCAGAACCTCTGTCCTGATCCAGCCTGAGTCCCAGGTAACGTGATACAGAAACCCAGAACAGCAGTAGGGATTGGCCGGGGGGGGGGGGGGGGGGGGGGGTTTACAGCTGCTAGAATCAGCAACAGCAGGAGCCTTCCCTGTCCCCACACCTTCTCTCTGGGAGTCCCTAAGTGGGGCTGCAATGAGACTCTGGAACCCATCTGGAGTCCATATCAGGCCTGACTGCTGCAGGATAGCAACAGAGATGTTTCCTCACTCCCCAGAGGACACACACCTTCCTGGTACTGTATTCTGGGAGATCCCCCCCTTTATTTGGGAAGCCAGGCTGTCTGTGGAGATGGGTGTGGGTCAGCCACGCCTCCTCCTGGCACAGGCTGGGAACGAGGGGTCTCCAGCACCCACCTGGCCTATTCTCTTGCTGTTTTCAGAGCCTCAGGTGCCCTTGAATGACGGTCCCTGGGGACCTTCTCATGAGGGACTTGTCCAAGGACAGACTATTCTAAGAAGAGTCCCTGACCTCAAGGAGGTATCCACTGCGAAGTCCAGGCCTGCTTTCCTGTCCTCAGCTATGAGGGCAGCGGCCATCACTGCTCTGCTGTCTGGGGCTCTGAGCCTCAGCCTCTCGCTGAGGCAACATCTGGAGGCTAGAGGAGAGGAGACCCAGGAAGGAAAGGGGTCCTGGCCTCTTATCCCTTTGGAGCAGATGCCTCATGCGGTTGCTGAGTTCAGAGGCATGTGTGTTTGCCGCCCCCTTGTGACCTCACCCATCCACAGAGCCTCCTGTTTTGGCTGCACTGAAAACCCAATTCTCCAGGCAGTGGGTCTGAGAGAAGGCAAGTGAGGAGGGCACTACAGCCCAGGGGGTGGGCATCCATCCCACAAGGCTTCCCCTTTATCTACAGGGGAGGCCTCCCAAGATTCCCAACAGTTACGTGAAACTTCCGTGAAGCCGTAAATCCACCACTTACTGCACACTGTGGCTGGAGCTGGCGTGGTGTGTGGTACCACAGTGACTATGAGCCACAGTGACTATGACAGAAATCTCTTCTTCCTTCTTCATACGTTTATGGGTCAAAGATTTGATCCTCAAGAGTCTCAGCATTTGATATCTTTTTCTTTACTCATATGTCAAGAACATTCACATTTCACTTGAGGGAATTGCTTCAAAGTCCCTCTTTGGCATTCCGAATGCCACACGATTCCCCTTGCCCACAGGGGCATCGTTAAGTGAAATAATGGCACCTGGCCCCAAGTACTGCCCACTGATCTGGTTAACCATACCGAGACTGGTGAGTGAGGGACAAGAAGCTAACACAGTGCGGATGAATGGGGACACAAGCCACACAGGACAGACTGAGAATGATGTGTGAGTGCGCTGCGCTTAAAGGTTTATTTCTAAAAAAAAAAAAAAAAAAAAAAGGAGATAAAAATTTGAAAGAAGATCAATCTATACCTATTTCTAGAATACATGATCCTATCTTTAAAAGACCCTAAAGGCTCAGCGGTTAAGAGCACTGTCGGCATTTTGAGAGGACCTGGGTTCTATCCCCAACACCCACATGGGGACTCACAACCATCTGTAACTCTAGTTCCTAGGAATCTGACGCCTTCTTCTGGCACACGTGTGGTATGCAGACATACATGTGAACAAAACTCTTATATAAAAAAAATTAAAGATGCTACCAAACACTCTTAGCTGATAAACCCTCTCAGCAAAGAACAGGATACAAAAGCATCATGTAAAGCTTTTCTATGTGCCAGTAACAAACTTGTTGAGAAAGAAATCAGACTCCACTCACAATAACTTTTAAAAGTAAAATACCAGGGCTGGAGAGATGGCTCAGCAGTTAAGAGCACTGGCTACTCTTCCGGAGGTTCAAATTCCCAACATCCACATGGCGACTCAGCCATCTGTGACTCCAGTTCCAGGAGATCCAGTGCCCTGTTCTGGCCTCTGCGGGCACCAGGCATGCATGCTGTGCACAGACATACATGCAGGCAAAACACCATCTACATAAAAGAATAACATTTTCAAGTTAATAAAAAACAAAACAGGATTGAATGTAGCAAAGGAGGTGAAAGACCTCTACACTAGAAACTTTAAGACACTGTAATGAAGAAATAAAAGACACTAGAAAATGGAAAGGTCTCCACCGCTCATGAATAGGTGGAGTTAATATTGTGAAAAGGCCAAATTACTGAAAGTGATCTATAGATTGAACTCAGTACCCATCAAAATTCCAACAATACATTTCACAAATCATAAAAAAAAACACTTCAAAAAAATCATAAAATTTATATGGAAACACAAAGAGCCCCAAATAGCCAAAGCAGTCCCAAGCAGAAAAAGCAGTGCTGGAATACCACAGTACCTGGCCTCAAATGACGTTTAAGAGCTGTAGTGACAAAAACATCATGATAAAAGACAAGCATAGACAGGCAGACCGATAGACTACCATGGAGGACCCAGACAGAGACCTATGCAGTGACAGCACCTGATGTTTCATCCTGGTGTCCAAAACACCTTGACAGAAAGCCTCAGCAAACGGAGATGAGAGAACTGGATATTCAAGTGCAGAAGAAAACTAGACCGCATCGCTCACCCTGTGCAAAAATCCATTCAAAGTGCATCAAAGACCTTCATGTAAGACCTGAGTCTCTGACTGGGTGGTGGTGGTGCACAGCTTTGATCCCAGCACTCCGGAGGCAGAGCCAGGTGGATCTCTGTGAGTTCGAAGCCAGCCTGGTCTACAGAGTGAGATCCAAGACAAGCACCAAAACTACACAGAGAAACCCTGTCTCAGGGAAGAAAAAAAAAAACTAAGTCTCTGAAACTGCTAAAAGGAAACAATTCAAGACATGCTGTAGACACAGACAAGGACTTAAATAGGCCAGGAAATAATCTCAAGAATTCACCAATCGACTACATGACATCAAAAACCTTCTGTGCAGCAAAGGAAACCATCAACTGAATGAGGGCACAGCCCACAGAGCTACACATCTGACAGAGCAGTGTGGTGTTATATCCTTATACTCAAATAAAGCTTGCCTGCAGATCAGAGGACAGAGCCAGCCACAGTTAGCCACAGAGGTCAGGCAGTGGTGGCACACACCTTTAATCCTAGCACTCGGGAGGTAGAGATCTGTTTGGATCTCTGTGAATTCAAAGCCACCCTGGACTACATGAAATTTATCCAGTTTAAAAGAGAAACAGCCAGGCAATGGTGATACACATCTCTAATTCCAGTACTTGGGAGTCGCATGCCTTGAATCCCAGCACTAGGAAGGTTGAGACAGGAAGAGATATGGCTGGGCAGAGAAAGGAGTATAAGGCGGGAGGAGACAGGAACTATAGTCCCTTTCGGCTGAGGACTCAGAGGCATTCAGTCTGAAGATCTGTGGAGACAGGATCTTCTCTTTTCAGCTGAGGAGTTGGCGAGGTGAGAAGTGGCTGTGGCTTGTTTCCTCTGATCTTCCAGCATTTACCCCAATATCTGGCTCCAGGTTTTTATTATAAGACCATTTAGGATTCGAGTAATATCGAGGATCTATACTGAGCTCCAAAAATGACACGCCTCCCCCCCCCAAATCATCCAGTCAATGGATGGCAAATGAACAGCTCAAAAGAGGGAAATGACCTGAAAAATACACGGAAAAGCAATGTCCTAAATATGGCAGCCACTGCCAGTGAGGATATGAGGAGGAACAGCCTATCCACTGCTCCTGGGAATGTAACTGGGATGCAGCTACTAAGGAAATTGGTAAGAAGCTCCTCGAGTTAAAACTAGAACTCCTGGGCAGGAGAAATGGCTCAGCCTGTGGAGACCCCATTTTCTACGGATTGCAAAAATAGTCACCACTGCCCGGGGGATGTGCTTCTCAGTTTCTTTGTGTGATGGGAGGGCCTATGGACAGAGCCATACAGATAGACCACCTTCCTGCCTCTGACTGGCATCCATCCTGATCCATGACCTGGCTTTTATCAGCTTTTCCTTTGAGGTAAAAAATGCAATCTGCCTCCTCCTGGCCAATGGTCTGGCCCTTGGCAGGCTGTGCTGCCCCTAAGGGTAGTGTCTTAGTTAGGATTTCTATTGCTGTGAAGAGACACCATGACCACAGCAGCTTTTATGAAGGAAAACATTTAATTAGGCTGGCTTACAGTTTCAGAGATTTAACTCATTGTCATTATGGTGGGACATGGTGGCGTGCAGGCAGAGTGGTGCTGGAGACGGAGCTGAGAGTCTTATATCTCAACCTGCAGGCAACAGGAAGTGGTCTGAAACACTAGATGTGTTTCAGATGGCCTGAGCTTATATGAGACCTCAGAGCCCACATCCATAGTAACACACTTCCTCCAACAAGGCCATACCTACTCCAACAAAGCCATGCCTCCTAACAGCGCCACACTCCCTATGAGGTTATGGGGCCCAATTCAATTCAAACCACCACAGGTAGTGTGAGGCTTAACACTATAAATGGCTGCTGAGGAGCAAACTGGGAGCTGGGCAACAGTGGATGCCCTGACGGCCAAAGAAGCATTCTTCAGACAGGAATTCTAATGGGCTTCATTGACATTTCTATACATGTCTCTATGGTTCTTTGCTCTGATCTACTGTCTAGTAACTTTTCCTGTTGCCCTATTAAAATACCTTAACAAAGCAACTTAAGGAAGGGAGCATTGATTTTGACTCAGTTCCGTGGTCCGTTGTGACAGAAAAGTCACAGGTGCAGGAGCGTGAGGTCACATTGTTCCCAGTCAGGATGCAGAGACAGATGAAAGTGTGCTCTGTGACTCCTGATCCCACCCCAGGGAGTGGTTCTGCACACAGTGAGTAGATCTCCCCACCTCAGTTAACCCAGTCATGATACTCCCCCACAGGCATGTCCAGGCTCACCCATCAGGAGATTTTGGAGCTCATCAGGTTGATAAGTGACTAGTCATCACACCTACCATTACAAGTCTCTTACTTCCACACTTTTCTTTAAATTGAGTCTCATTATGGAGCCCAGGCTGGCCTCGAACTTACACAGACCTGCCTGCCTCTGCCTCCCGGCTGCTGGGATGGAAGGTGTGTGCTGCCACAGCTGGCCACTCCCACATTTCTTTCCTCTTCTGGTGCCTTTCACTAATAGTGTCTCTTCTATTTTTAAGATGCCTTTTTCTTTCCTCCCTAGTTTTCTCATATGAAAGAAAACCTGTAATACTTGTGAGGGTTTGCTTGAGAAACCTCCCCCATAATCTCCAGCATTTGAACACTTAATGGGCTCTCATTTGGTGGCACTGTCTGGGGAAGGTTAGGACCTGAGGCTTTGCTGGAGGAAATATGTTCCTGGGGGCATGTTTGGAGTGCTTAAGGCCTCACCCAAGTTCTAACTGGGCTCTTTGCTTCACACTTGTGGTTAAGAGGTTAGGGCTGGGCACCCTGCTCCTGCCACAGCCCCCCACTTGCAGCCATGCTCCCCCACCATGATGAACTCTTATCCCTCTGGAACCGTAAGCTCAAACAAATCTTCTGTAAGTTGCTTGGTCATGGTGTTTCATTACAGCATCAGAAAAGCAACTAAAACACATGTCTTTCTGCGTCTGACTTTTGGCTTAACGTGATGACCTCAGCCTCTGTCCATTTGCCTGCAAAGTCATTCATCTTTATAGCTTAGTAAAAACCCCTTTGTGTATACATACCTCCTCATTTTCTTTATCCATTCATCTGTTATGGGTTTCTCTGCTGGTCTCTTGGCCTTGGAATAATGTAGTAATTGACATAGATGTGTAGGGTATCTCTGTGATGCTTTGACTTATATTCCTTCAGGTTTATAACCAATGCTATGGGTGGGTCGTATGGTGGTTCTAACTTTGGTTTCTTAAGGAACCTCCAAACTGATTTCCATAGTGGCTGCATTAATTCACATTCCTACCAACAGTGTGTAAAGATTCCTTTTGTTCCACATTCTCACTTGAATTGCCTACTTTTAGATATTTTGGTAGCAGCCTTTTTTTACTGGAATGGCAACACATTCCTTAATAGCAAAGTATGTTGGGCATTTTCCCTTCTGTTTATTGGCTCTTTGTTCCTCTTTTGAGATGTGTCTGCTCAAAGCATCGGCCCATTTATAAATTGGATTTTTTGTTTTTCTATTTGTTATTCTTTGTGTGTTCTATGCATTAATCTTCTGTTGCCTGAAACACTAGCCAAACCTTTCTCCCATCCCGAGGTCAATGCTTTGCTCTGCGGTGCAGAATTGCAGCGTGACACCATCCCACCTGTCAGCTTTTGCTGTTGTTTCCTGGGCCAGATTCAGTTCCGTGACTTGTGTCTTCTTCATGAATCTGTACACACTGTCTATTATCACATCCTGGAGACCCGACCTCCAGAAGGTCAATGCTGGCTGCTACTCTGGGCTAATCTAGAATAGCGTTTACTACCTGCTGTAAAATAAGGAGTGGAGGTTGGTAGATGTGGAACTATCACACTGTAGTCAAACCTGCCTTGTAGTCTGAGATCATGAGTCTCAAGGTCGCTTCCTTGAGCAAAGTACTGTCTTATCTTAATTAGAGTGTAAGAGGACAATTTAAATTTCACTTTAGATCTGTTACTTTGTTCTCCATTGTAACTTCACTTGGGCTTATTGGAAGAAAACACTTTCCAAGAAACTTACCCCATGGCAGACTAAAACTGAAGAACGTATTAGAATATACTATGAGTACACATGCATACACACTCATGACGAAGCTGTTCATAATTAGGCCCAGTGAGAGATTAGCAACAATAACTAATAATCCAGTTGAATGTTAACAGTGTTCTGCATTCTGTACAGGGGTGCCAGTATCACTGGACCTGAGCTTTGGAACTGTTATTAAATGAAATCAGGACACAGCTCTGCCATACTGTAATAGTCGATGTGACAACTGATCACTCCTAGGTAACTAACGGACACCTAGCATATACAGCTTGGATGCAGTGGACTAAGGCATGGCTTATGAAGCGGGTGGGATGGACTGGGACAATAGGAGCTGTAATCATGCCACTCAGGGCGGCACACGGTTCTAAATGATGAATTGTTTCTGAAATTTCAATATAGTATTTTTCAGGTTGCAATTTCCCCACATATAACCAAAATTCCACTAAAAAGGGAGACTGCTGGGCAAAGTTGGCATGGGCCGTCCTAACACTCTGTGTCCTTGATTCTCTTCCTTTAGATGGAGGTCCAGCGAAGTCCTCTTGGCACTTGGCCTCTGGGTCACTGAAGTTCATTCAGTTTGCTGTCTAAAGTCCAGAGTCATAACTGGCCTGTGCACACAGCCGATTAGCTGAGTCACTGGGGCCGTGCAAGTGTACAAAGAGAAAGTGGGTAGGGACTCACGCTCAGTCTGCCGGGCCTCTCCCAGGGGCTCTGGATGCTACTGTGTGCAGAGCTCCATAGGTCTGCTGCTTGAAGAGGGCTCAAGGAGCCAGCACTGAGCCCTGGTGGACAGCAGAGCACGCTGGGATAATCCTGCCCAAAAAGGAAAGCAGCTGCTCCTGTCCCCAAGGAAAGCAACAGCGGTGTTTTGGTCTCTCCCTGCTGCCGTCAGGTAGGGGGGCTGCTTGTCAAGTTCCCAGACAGGCCGGCCATCTTTCCTGCTGCCCGTCCTTGCGGCTCTCCTGATGACATCATGCAAACTTGTTCTCCTTAGCTTCCAGGACCTCTTCAGCTGGGTCCAAAACAACAGTGATTGTCTGTGCTGCCTGTGGGGCGGGGTGCTAGGGACGCAACAGGAGCCTAGACAGGCATAGTCTCACCTGCTGGTAACCGGATCCCTTATGATTTTAGCCTCAGGCTGGGTGAACCGCACGCAGGTGTCCTGCTGCCAGGGTGCTTACCCCCTGTGTCCCCCACAGACCCTGCACCTAGCCTACCTTCAATGCAGGGGGCAACAGAGGACATTGTGCCCCTTCTCAGAGAACAAGATTTCTGTCAGGGAGAAGGTATCTTTGGGTTTTAAAAAAAAGGAAAAAAAGAAGAAACCTGTTTCATCATTCCCTCTCTCTCTCTCTCTCTCCATTCTTTTCTTAATCCCCTTAAATCAGGGGGCCTGTCTGTGGCCATCCCTGGACTTTTTTAATTCAAGGAATGCTGGTCTCACCACCTAACTGACCATTATCATGGACAAGGGTCCTGGGGACAGCCACTGGGGGTGAGGAAAAGAAACCTTCGGTCTGCCAGGCTGGGGATGGGCACTGGATGCCATCCCCAGCATCCCTACGGCGCCCTCTGGCGGGCACAGGCAAAGCCTGCATCTGGCACTCTGAGACTCTGTAAACTGTCACAGAGACTCAGAGCCATGCAGAACTGAAGAGGGAAATGTGTGGGGAGTTCAAGTCTGTGTTCACAGGGTGTGGCTTCTAAAGATGGCTGGAGTGAGCGTTCAGTGTGCCTGCGATTCTAGCTAATGGGCTCGGGGTGAGTCTTGAAAGCCACAGCGGTATCTGATGTAGGATGGGGAGTCTGATCAGAGAGGAGCTGGCCATGGAGGGGGCTGAACCTGTGGGACAGCAGTGCCTAGGGACGGATGGCTATGAAGGAAGAAACAGATGACTCCAAGGCTGATGACAGGCCTGGGAATGTCGATAGGGTCACTTGTGAAACATAACCAGTTTGCACACGTGAGTTCCCACACACATCAGGAAGCAGATGCCCTATACCCAGCCACAGTACTGCAGAGTCCCTAGTGCTGGCCCTCTGCCCACCAGTATATTTAGGAAGAGCACTCACTGGCCCGATTCTCACCTTTAAGGGACTCTTAATAGGAGTATCCTGGGGCCTCTACCAACACCCAGGGAGAGGCTGACACACAGGCAGCATGTTTTCCTTCCTTGGACTTCCACTGCCTAGCGTGGCCCTGAGCCCATCTTGTCACCTCCATGCTCTGTCTTCCCGCTGGTCCTGAATGCATGGTGTCTTATGAAACCTCCCCGCCACTGTCCCGAGGACACAGTTCACGTTCCAGCCACCTTCTTCCGACAGAGCCATGCTGGCTGCTCCCTGGGAAAAGGGAAGCTGAGGAGCCAGGCCACAGTCTAGGCTGAGACTTACTGGTTTGCAGAAACTAAGTTCTTTTGCTCCTCTCTGAGGGAAAAAAAAAAAATGCACAGGAACCAAACAAATTCAGATCAACACATAACCAACCGGATTTTCTGAGCTTTAATAGGCCATGAGTAGCCACAGAAATTTGAGAACTGGTTGCATTGGGCCCAGGGGAGGGTAGGACATGGAAGAACCAGCTGTATATGGAGTGAGACACACAAGAGCCAGGAACCACATAGGGGACTGCACACGCCATGAGTACACTCCAACCAACTGGATTAGACACTTGAAGGGCGTGTGCGTTCTATTTCAATAAAGCTGTTGGAAATACGCAGAGATGATATGGGTGGGCAAAGACAGCTTCCTAATCCATTATCACCACCTGGACTCCATCTCCCAGAACCTTTGACCTCTTGCCACCCTTTGCACACCGCAAGGACGGCCCTCTACAGAGACAGAGCTCAGAGCAAGGAGCCCAGTCAGCTCTAGTCCCAGACCCAAGCCCTGCTGTCAGGCCCACAGTGACAGTCCCTCCTCTCCCAGGGATCTAGGTGTCAGAAAGCCTCCCTAGCAGCATCAGGAGCCGAAGACTCCCTCAAAGGTCCCAGGCCTCAGAATGCACCCCAGGGACCCATCCAGGGCCGTGCCAAAGTCGCCACATTATTTCCCCAGAATAGTTCATGGTTTTCTTGACGTAGTGGGAGTGTGGTGGGTTTACCTGTCCGGGAACACCTCAATCATAAACTATGACGTAGCTGGAACAGAGGGATGTTCTTAAAGGCCAAATAAGGAATGTGGGGCTCAATGAGAGAGGAAGAGTTTTGGCCCAATGTGGATGAGAATGTGGACTGTAGTCACAGCCACAGCAATTAAAACCAAACAAACCGCCGGGCGGTGGTGGCGCACGCCTTTAATCCCAGCACTCGGGAGGCAAAGCCAGGTGGATCTCTGTGAGTTCGAGGCCAGCCTGGTCTCCAAAGCGAGTACCAGGAAAGGCGCAAAGCTACACAGAGAAACCCTGTCTCGAAAAACCAAAAAAAAAAAAAAAAAAAAAAAAAAACCAAACAAACCAGCCAGGCAGTGGTGGCACACGCTTTTAATCCCAGTACTTGGGGGCAGAGGCAGGCAGATCTCTGTGAGTTCGAGGCCACCCTGGTCTACAAAGTGAGTTCCAGAACAGGCTCCAAAGCTACACAGAGACACTCTATCTCAGGAAAAAACAAAAACAAAACTTAAAGACACATGGCAGAGGTTATTTTTTAAATGACCTTTGACCGTAGTGATTGGTAAGGACAGTGCCCTCGGTCTGAGATGGAGTGCACAGTCACTGTGCTGACACCTTGAAGAACTACTTCTATGTGAGGCAGCGGTGGCTGTGTGCAAGCCTAGGGTGTGACAATCTTTGTTGACAGCTGCCATCAAACAATCATCAACCCCGGGGGTTCTTGTAAAAAGCAAACCACAGCTGAGACAGGAAGCATGGTTTTCGTTCTGTCGTCATTGACATTTTTCTTACAGGACAAACATGAATAGAGCCAGAGTCAGTGGGGAAGGTGCCAGGCAGGAACCCATTGGCACCTGGAATCTCTGGCCTGCCTGGCACCAAGTCCTGGCCAAGTCATTCCTCTTGCTGGTCCCCTCGTCTTGTAATGGAAATTTACCCCACCCAATGAGAAATTCAACCAGCACTCAGAGACAAAAGGAAAAACTCTTTAAAGTGTGCATCTGGAGCCCTGCATTAGGAGCCCTGCTAATGCTCGGGGAATTCAGCCTGGAAACCAATTTGTCACATTGTGTATAGAATGTTGTAATGTTATACACATTACACACACTTTCTTTTTTTTTTTTTTTTTTTTTTTTTTTTTTTTTGGTTTTTCGAGACAGGGTTTCTCTGTGTAGTTTTGCGCCTTTCCTGGGACTCACCTGGCAGCCCAGGCTGGCCTCGAACTCACAGAGATCCGCCTGGCTCTGCCTCCCGAGTGCTGGGATTAAAGGCGTGCGCCACCACCGCCCGGCTACACACACTTTCTTACACACACTTTCTTCTACAGGTGGCCTTTAAGCTCCTACACCGTTACATTTTTGAGCAAGTAAGCAAGTGTTGCAGACACGGAAACTTAAGGCTTTGGTTATCTCTATGATGCTTTTTTTTTTTTTTTTTCAATTGAGCTGATCACAGAGGCTGAGGAACACGACTGGAGCAGCTCTTGGGGACATTCCTTCAAGGCCGCTTGTCAAATGTTTGCTCTCTTCTGATGAGAGGAGGGGCGCGTGAGGAGCAAGTTTTAAAAGCACAACTTCAGGACACCTAAGTTCCAGCTAAGTCAGAACTATGAGGATTTCTTAGCACTCTCTATACTGTCTAGGAGATGTCTGTCTTACAGATATGCTCCAGTAACACTGAGGCAGGGACCTTCAGTAAGTTATTTCTGTGTAACTTAATGCTTCCTAAGCAGGTCTATTAGTGAACCCCTTTATGTCACGTTTAGTTAATGTTAGAGCTGTTACTTCTCTTTTTCCATTCAATCACCCAGGTGTCATGTGGCTGGAACTTCTCCTGGCTTCGGTGCTGGGCCTTGTCATCTACTGGTTTGTCTCCCGGGACAAGGAAGAAACCTTGCCACTTGAAGATGGCTGGTGGGGCCCAGGGTCGAAGCCCTCAGCCAGAGAAGATGAGAGCATCCGGTCTTTCAAGGTGGAGACATCAGACGAGGAGATCAAGGTGAGACGCCCTTTTACAGGCAGGAGCAAAAGCTGGAAGGTAGCCCTTCAGTGACCCCCTTTATCTTTCCAGCCTTCTTCCTCAAGCAAGACACAGATTGCTCCCAAGAAAGGTGTCCACTTTTCAGGGCCATCCCTCCAGTGTCTCCCCATCCTTAACCTGAGGCCCAGGATGGGTCAGGAGGACTCCCAAGGAGTCGTCTGTGTACAACAGGTCACAAGAGGCTGCTGTATTCGTTTCCCCTTGCCTAACCTAAAGGATGGTTGAGATAGCTTGAAGGGAAAAGTGAGCAGATGCCCCAGATTCTATGTGGGAGGCAATGCCCCCCAGGAAATGCAACAGCGTGGAGATCACAGGGTCAGCCTTAGGTGGGTCCTTACTGTGTATTGGGTACTCCTGGGCCCATCGTGATCTTTATCACGCTGCCCCATGGGGCTTGCTGTCTCAGCTCACAGAGGATAAAAATGAAGCTGAAAATGGTAGAGCCATGGGTCCCAGGAGAGTGTGTGAACAAGCAGAATGGTTAGAAATCATCTGCAATTCCAAGGCCACTCACAACCCCAGAGTCAAGAGAAGCAGACTAGTAGGGACAGAGAGCAAAGGGAAGGACCTCCTTAAGAGCCTGGATGGAGCAGGGCCTGAGGGGGGAGAACTGACATGGTCCAACCCATCCTTTTTTTTCACACTTAGTGCTTGAGTACCTACTGGGTGCAAGCACTCTATGGAATGCATGGGAGAAGACGGCCCTTCCCCCACTTCCCTCCCACAGCTCCACACACACATTCAGCATCGGTAGATGAGAAAGGAATGCATGGTGTTAAGATCTGGAGACCCAGCCGGGTGGTGGTGGCACGCGCCTTTAATCCCAGCACTCGGGAGGCAGAGCCAGGTGGATCTCTGTGAGTTTGAGGCCAGCCTGGGCTACCAAGTGAGTTCCAGGAAAGGTGCAAAGCTACACAGAGAAACCCTGTCTCGAAAAACCAAAAAAAAAAAAAAAAAGATCTGGAGACCCAGGGATCAGGAAGAATCAGTGTCATCAGACACATTGACGAAAGTTCCAAGGAGGAGGGGACCGAGAACCAGGAGGCTGAGGGCAGAAGCTAAGCGTTGAGGACTGCAAACCTGCTTGGGAAAGGCCAGAGCATGGGGGAAGTCTCTGGAAATGGTGGCACCTGAATTGTTTCTATGAGCTGAAATGAGCATGCCCAGATGGGTTGCTGGATTGGTATCTGATTCACACCCAGGGCACTTGGAACCTGTCTCCTAGACAGTCCATTTTATCTCACTGGGTTAGGGTGAGTCGTTCAACTGTTTGCGAGTGTTGGCACCTCACGGCTCAGAGGCCAAATGTAGCCTGTGACCTTTTCTTGCACTGGCCACTGTCAAGAATGGCTTTAATAGCTTGAGATCAGTGTGGACAAAAGCCAAAAGAAAGCTAATACTTGGAGGTATACAATGATTGTGCAGCATTTGAGCTTCAGTCATATACGTAAGTTTGATGGAACACGGCCTTACGGCTCCTTACAGGGGTCATCTGTGGCCATGGCCTCACTGCTCCTGCAGGGGCCATCTGTGACTGTGACCTCACTGCTCCTGCAGGGGTCATCTGTGACTGTGACCTCACTGCTCCTGCAGGGGTCATCTGTGACCTCACTGCTCCTGCAGGGGTCATCTGTGACTGTGACCTCACTGCTCCTGCAGGGGTCATCTGTGACTGTGACCTCACTGCTCCTGCAGGGGTCATCTGTGACTGTGACCTCACTGCTCCTGCAGGGGTCATCTGTGACTGTGACCTCACTGCTCCTGCAGGGGTCATCTGTGACTGTGACCTCACTGCTCCTGCAGGGGTCATCTGTGGCCTCACTGCTCCTGCAGGGGTCATCTGTGACTGTGACCTCACTGCTCCTGCAGGGGTCATCTGTGACCATGGCCTCACTGCTCCTGCAGGGGTCATCTGTGGCCTCACTGCTCCTGCAGGGTCATCTGTGACTGTGACCTCACTGCTCCTGCAGGGGTCATCTGTGACTGTGACCTCACTGCTCCTGCAGGGGTCATCTGTGACCTCACTGCTCCTGCAGGGGTCATCTGTGACTGTGACCTCACTGCTCCTGCAGGGGTCATCTGTGACTGTGACCTCACTGCTCCTGCAGGGGTCATCTGTGACTGTGGCCTCACTGCTCCTGCAGGGGTCATCTGTGACTGTGACCTCACTGCTCCTGCAGGGGTCATCTGTGGCCTCACTGCTCCTGCAGGGGTCATCTGTGACCGTGACCTCACTGCTCCTGCAGGGGCCATCTGTGACTGTGACCTCACTGCTCCTGCAGGGGTCATCTGTGACCATGACCTCACTGCTCCTGCAGGGGTCATCTGTGACTGTGACCTCACTGCTCCTGCAGGGGTCATCTGTGACTGTGACCTCACTGCTCCTGCAGGGGTCATCTGTGGTCATGACCTCACTGCTCCTGCAGGGGTCATCTGTGACTGTGACCTCACTGCTCCTGCAGGGGTCATCTGTGACTGTGACCTCACTGCTCCTGCAGGGGTCATCTGTGACCGTGACCTCACTGCTCCTGCAGGGGTCATCTGTGACCATGACCTCACTGCTCCTGCAGGGGTCATCTGTGACCGTGACCTCACTGCTCCTGCAGGGGTCATCTGTGACTGTGACCTCACTGCTCCTGCAGGGTCCATCTGTGACTGTGACCTCACTGCTCCTGCAGGGGTCATCTGTGACCGTGACCTCACTGCTCCTGCAGGGGTCATCTGTGACTGTGACCTCACTGCTCCTGCAGGGGTCATCTGTGACCATGACCTCACTGCTCCTGCAGGGGTCATCTGTGACTGTGACCTCACTGCTCCTGCAGGGGTCATCTGTGGTCATGACCTCACTGCTCCTGCAGGGTCATCTGTGACTGTGACCTCACTGCTCCTGCAGGGGTCATCTGTGACCTCACTGCTCCTGCAGGGGTCATCTGTGACCGTGACCTCACTGCTCCTGCAGGGGTCATCTGTGACCTCACTGCTCCTGCAGGGGTCATCTGTGACCGTGACCTCACTGCTCCTGCAGGGGTCATCTGTGACTGTGACCTCACTGCTCCTGCAGGGGTCATCTGTGACCTCACTGCTCCTGCAGAGGTCATCTGTGACCTCACTGCTCCTGCAGGGGTCATCTGTGACCATGACCTCACTGCTCCTGCAGGGGTCATCTGTGACTGTGACCTCACTGCTCCTGCAGGGGTCATCTGTGACCTCACTGCTCCTGCAGGGGTCATCTGTGACCTCACTGCTCCTGCAGGGGTCATCTGTGACTGTGACCTCACTGCTCCTGCAGGGGTCATCTGTGACCATGACCTCACTGCTCCTGCAGGGGTCATCTGTGACTGTGACCTCACTGCTCCTGCAGGGGTCATCTGTGACTGTGACCTCACTGCTCCTGCAGGGGTCATCTGTGACTGTGACCTCACTGCTCCTGCAGGGGTCATCTGTGACTGTGACCTCACTGCTCCTGCAGGGGTCATCTGTGACCTCACTGCTCCTGCAGGGGTCATCTGTGACTGTGACCTCACTGCTCCTGCAGGGGTCATCTGTGACCGTGACCTCACTGCTCCTGCAGGGGTCATCTGTGACTGTGACCTCACTGCTCCTGCAGGGGTCATCTGTGACTGTGACCTCACTGCTCCTGCAGGGGTCATCTGTGACCTCACTGCTCCTGCAGGGGTCATCTGTGACCATGACCTCACTGCTCCTGCAGGGGTCATCTGTGACTGTGACCTCACTGCTCCTGCAGGGGTCATCTGTGGCTGTGACCTCACTGCTCCTGCAGGGGTCATCTGTGACTGTGACCTCACTGCTCCTGCAGGGGTCATCTGTGGCTGTGACCTCACTGCTCCTGCAGGGGTCATCTGTGACCGTGACCTCACTGCTCCTGCAGGGGTCATCTGTGACTGTGACCTCACTGCTCCTGCAGGGGCCATCTGTGACTGTGACCTCACTGCTCCTGCAGGGGTCATCTGTGACTGTGACCTCACTGCTCCTGCAGGGTCCATCTGTGACCTCACTGCTCCTGCAGGGTCCATCTGTGACTGTGACCTCACTGCTCCTGCAGGGGTCATCTGTGACTGTGACCTCACTGCTCCTGCAGGGGTCATCTGTGACTGTGACCTCACTGCTCCTGCAGGGGTCATCTGTGACTGTGACCTCACTGCTCCTGCAGGGGTCATCTGTGGCCATGACCTCACTGCTCCTGCAGGGTCATCTGTGGTCATGACCTCACTGCTCCTGCAGGGGTCATCTGTGACTGTGACCTCACTGCTCCTGCAGGGTCCATCTGTGACCTCACTGCTCCTGCAGGGGTCATCTGTGACTGTGACCTCACTGCTCCTGCAGGGGTCATCTGTGACTGTGACCTCACTGCTCCTGCAGGGGTCATCTGTGACTGTGACCTCACTGCTCCTGCAGGGGTCATCTGTGACTGTGACCTCACTGCTCCTGCAGGGGTCATCTGTGACTGTGACCTCACTGCTCCTGCAGGGGTCATCTGTGACTGTGACCTCACTGCTCCTGCAGGGGTCATCTGTGACTGTGACCTCACTGCTCCTGCAGGGGTCATCTGTGACTGTGGCCTCACTGCTCCTGCAGGGGTCATCTGTGACTGTGACCTCACTGCTCCTGCAGGGGTCATCTGTGACCTCACTGCTCCTGCAGGGGCCATCTGTGACCTCACTGCTCCTGCAGGGGTCATCTGTGACTGTGACCTCACTGCTCCTGCAGGGGCCATCTGTGACCTCACTGCTCCTGCAGGGGTCATCTGTGACTGTGACCTCACTGCTCCTGCAGGGGCCATCTGTGACTGTGACCTCACTGCTCCTGCAGGGGTCATCTGTGACCATGACCTCACTGCTCCTGCAGGGGTCATCTGTGACTGTGACCTCACTGCTCCTGCAGGGGTCATCTGTGACTGTGACCTCACTGCTCCTGCAGGGGTCATCTGTGGTCATGACCTCACTGCTCCTGCAGGGGTCATCTGTGACTGTGACCTCACTGCTCCTGCAGGGGTCATCTGTGACTGTGACCTCACTGCTCCTGCAGGGGTCATCTGTGACTGTGGCCTCACTGCTCCTGCAGGGGTCATCTGTGACTGTGGCCTCACTGCTCCTGCAGGGGTCATCTGTGACTGTGACCTCACTGCTCCTGCAGGGGTCATCTGTGACTGTGACCTCACTGCTCCTGCAGGGGTCATCTGTGACTGTGACCTCACTGCTCCTGCAGGGGTCATCTGTGACTGTGGCCTCACTGCTCCTGCAGGGGTCATCTGTGACTGTGGCCTCACTGCTCCTGCAGGGGCCATCTGTGACCATGGCCTCACTGCTCCTGCAGGGGTCATCTGTGGCTGTGACCTCACTGCTCCTGCAGGGGTCATCTGTGACAGCTCCTTTGCTGCTGGGACAAAGTGGAGGATTTGCATCTTGCAAAGCCTGATAATCTTGCTCTATGGCTCTTGACAAAGTTTACCAACCCCTACTCTACAGAAGGCTTGATGAATTAAAAGTGAGTATTGCGGGGGGCGGGAGGGGGGAGAACAAGGGAACCCGTGGCTGATATGTAAAATTAAATTAAATTATAAAATAAAAAAATCAAAAAAAATCAAACATGAAATTAAAAAAATCCTTTAATCCCAGCACTCAGGAAGCAGAGGCAGGCAAATCTCTATGAGTTTGAGGCCAGTCTAGTCTACAGAGTGAGTTCCAGGACAGCCAGGGCTTACACAAAGAAACCTGTCTCGGAAAAACCAAAAAAAAAAAAAAAAAAAAAAGAAAGAAAGAAAGAAAGAAAGAAAGAAAAGAAAAGAGTAAGTATTGTTCGCACACCTGAGAAATGAAAAGATGGCTGGGATGGAGCTAAAAGGGAGAACACATCATGTGTGGCCTGTGCGAAGCCTTCCATCCCCTCCCTGAACCTCCCATTCCACCAAAACAAAGAGATGAAAGGATTCTGAAGTCCACAGGGAAGAACCATCAGCCTCTCAGGGATCCACTGTGTGGCCCCTCCGTGGTGCCCATCTATGGCTGCAGGGTTCACACTGAGTTGTGGACACAAGCTCTGCCCTGCCTCTGCCCACCCACCCTGGCTTCTTCCCTGCAGGACTTACACCAGAGGATTGACAGGTTCCGGGCATCCCCGCCTTTGGAGGGCAGCCGCTTCCACTATGGCTTCAACTCCAGCTACCTGAAGAAAGTGGTGTCCTTCTGGAGAAACGAGTTTGACTGGAGGAAGCAGGTGGAGATCCTCAACCAGTACCCCCACTTCAAGACCAAGATTGAAGGTGAGTTTCCAGAACACCAGCCTGGGAGGGGGGGGGTGAGTCACGGGAGCAGCCTTCCTTCGAGATGAGTGGCCCCAAGTCAATCATGTGGTAGCACCCTGGGTCAGTGGAAGGTCACTGGTATGCCTGAAAGTTGTTGAAACGTTATTTTCCTTGTTGCTCTAACATAAAGCCTACAAAGACAAGTTAAGGTTTTTCTTTTGGCTCCTGGTTTGCGGGTACTGTCACGGCAGGGAAGCCACTGCAGCAGTGGGGTAATGTCATATCAGGTCTGTCTGTCATCAGGAAGCAGTAGAAAGAATGTGGTCTTTCCATTTTCTCCTTTCTTCCGTATTATAGTCAGTCTTTTGACCACCCCAGGCTGCCCGTATTCAGGGCGGGTCTTCTTGCTTCTCTTAACTCTCTATGGAAACACCCTCACACACATCTCCTCGGTGATCCCCAGATTAACCAAGTTGGCAATGAAGATCACAGTTGTAACCCCAGAAATGTGGATTCAGAAGGTGAAGATTCTTGGCAGCTCCCAGCTCAGGCAAAATAACACGTGTTCCAAGTTCAGTGGCAGACCCTCTCTTAAGAGGAATTAGGCAGAATGTTAGGGAAGGATTCCTGATGTCCTCCCCTGGCCTAAGCATACACACACACACACACACACACACACACACACACACACTCACACACACACACACACACACACACACACTCACACACCTGTATACATACATATGTGCGCACACACACACACACACACACACACACCAGCTTGAGAAAGGGTTTATTTCAGCTAACAGTTCAAGGGTGCTGGCCATCGTGATGACGTCATGGTCAGGAGGAGCATGAAGAAGCTGGTCACAGAGTGTGTGTCTGTAGTCAGGAAGCACAGAGCAATGAATTCCTGTGCTCAGCTGGCTTTCTTCTTTTTATTCAGTCCAATCGCCCAGTCCGTGGGCTGGTACTGCCCACATTTACGATAGGTCTTCCCACATTAATTAACCTAATCTAGATAACCCCTCAAGGATTTGCCCAGAGACTTGTCTCCTAGATGATCCTCCACCCTGTCACGTTAACAATTCATGGCAGCTACCACAAACCTTAAAGACAATCAGATATGGAAACACTTAAGAAAACCAGAGCCACTGTGTAAACACTTCAAATTCATATTCTCTTGTGGCAAAACACACAGAGCCTGACATTAGAGCAAGTGGCCTCTGGAGGAGGAAGCAGGACAGCCGATGCCCAGGATAGCACTAAGCAATATTTTCCTTTCATGGGTGGCAAGCTTGGCCGCTCAGCCTCAACTCACTGTCTCCCTAGTAACCATAGTTACTAGAGTGTTACAGTGCAAAGCCCCCTCAGGGTACAAACGCTCCAAGAGGACAGTTCCAGCCTTGAGTTCACCTTGGACAGCAACCCATTAAGACAGTCCTGTGTGATCTAGCAGGACTGGCAGCCTGTGCTGGGCCTGGGGCTTACAGGATGGGTTCTGCTGGGTCGGGTGCTTGCAGGATGGGTTCTGCTGGGCCTGGGTTTGGGTTCTCTGCACCATCCACAATGCTATTTGGTGACCTCAGTGCCCAGGTGCAACAAGTCTCCAGCTAGACTCCCTTCCGGTGTTCTCCAGCGTAAGTTTGGTCCGAGAAGGCTCCTGCTTCATATTTGCCGCCATCCTCCTGCCTCATAATGGACCTTCCCAGGTCCCTCTTTCCTTCAAGCTCTGACACCTGGTTCGATGATTAATCTTAGCCCAACTTTTGCAAAAACTGGATCATACCACAGATATGACACGGTGATTTGCTCTCAGCATCTACCAGTGAACTCTTCTGTGTGTTAGATGAGCACACGGATGACAGTCCCTTCACGAGATCGTACTGCAGTGCTCTGTGGAAGACTACCCCTGGTTGCTGGGTATACGGGCCTCTCCCAGCCCTGATGTGTTCTCAGTGAACAAGTGTCTATGGAGCCCTGCTGTAAGCCAGGCAATGTTCCCAGTCCAGCTCTGCCCTCCAGAGAGAACACTCTAGTGTGACTGGGAGGTCATCGAGGACTTGCTCATGGCCAGAGCACACTGTAAGCACCCAACAGTGAGACTTGTTATTACTGTCATGGGTTCCTTGGGGACACCAAGGGCACGGCACTTATTCTCTCCCAGGAATGGCACACAGGGAACAAGATTCCCCAGGACCTCAGCCTCCACTACAGCAGGACCCTCCTCCCCTCACCTTGACTGTGCTCTGTCCCTCACCCTGACTGCTCTGTCCCCAGGGCTGGACATCCACTTCATCCATGTGAAGCCTCCCCAGCTGCCCTCAGGCCGCACCCCAAAGCCCTTGCTGATGGTGCATGGCTGGCCCGGCTCCTTCTATGAGTTTTACAAGATCATCCCACTGCTGACTGACCCCAAGACCCACGGCCTGAGTGACGAGCACGTGTTTGAAGTCATCTGTCCCTCCATTCCTGGCTATGGCTTCTCAGAGGCATCCAGCAAGAAAGGTACAGGGAGGGTGGTACATCCCAGACTGTGCCTCGTATGGCCAAGATGCCACCACGTTCTCATTCTAAGATGAAGCAGGGTGGCTAGACAGTTGGGAAAGAGAATCTGAGGGACATTGTAGGTTCTACATGGCCAGTTCTTTAAGGACATGAGTCAAAGGGACAGATGTGGCTGCCTCGGCTCAGGCCTAGACTCTCACATTTACCACTCAGGGGCAGCTCCATACCTAAGCCATGCCCTGCTCTAGGCCAGCATGGCTACTAAAGCCCCTGTACAGAGTGGCCTGAATCTGCAGAGGCTAGCCAAGCTCTGCGCATACCTTTCTTGCCTGGCAGAGTAGTAGCTATTGAATCATGCCCTACCCTGAGAAAGGCAGCTCTCACTCTCTTTCCCTGTGAGGGGGCACTTCCTTGCAGCTCTAAGATTCCTTCTGTCCTTCTGTGGGCCTCTGTTTCCTCAGCTTGGAGGGAGGCAGGTCTGGGGCACTTCCTGGGCACCTGAGTGCTTCAAAAGCGTCCTCATGAATCCCCTGTCTGTCCCCTTCACACTCAGGCTTCAATACGGTGGCCACTGCCAGGATCTTCTACAAGCTGATGTCGCGGCTGGGCTTCCAGAAATTCTACATTCAAGGCGGGGACTGGGGGTCCCTCATCTGCACCAACATGGCCCAGATGGTTCCCAAGTGAGTCGGTGAAGTCGTGCAGGCATGGCCCAGCCTCACCGGTATCTGAGTGTGTACAGCGTCTACACAGAGCACAGGGCTGTTCACGCCAGGCCCCTTCGGAGGGAGACTTAGAGCTCTCTCTCTCTCTCAGCCAAGCCCTCCATGGTGACCCAGTGCAGAAGAGGGAGTTCCCCTCCCACCAATACCTGAGAATGACATACACTGACACCCTCCTCCTGGGGTAACACAAGAGTGGTGACCCTTGGCCAGGCACCCAGGCAAAGCAGTTAGCAGAGATACAGGCGACATCCATGGATGTCCAACCTTCCAACACTACAATCCAATATCACCACAATGTACTGAGTGGCACTCATACCTTTCCTGGTACAGATGTGGTCCATGGGTTGTAGGCTGGACACACCTGATAGACCTTCATGGTTGGCAGACTCCAAAATAGCCCTGACCAGAACTCTCTAGAAACTGTCCTTTCCTGTCCCTCACCTCCAAGCCCATGGATTTCCAGTGGAACAGACTGCTGAAGGAGGCTGGCTTGTGCTCTTCAGTTCCATGGCCTGTCCCTGCCCTCCTCCATCTCCTCTCCATGTCCTTCATAGCAGCCAAAATCACCTGTGCCCATTTCTCTGCCCACAGCCACGTGAAAGGCCTGCACTTGAACGTAGCTTTCATTACAAAAAATATCTACACCCTGACCCCTCTCCTGGGCCGGCGTTTCGGGAGATTTCTTGGCTACACTGAGAGGGATATCGAGCTGTTGTACCCCTTCAAGGAGAAGGCTTTCTACAGCATCGTGAGGGAGAGTGGCTACCTACACATCCAGGCCACCAAGCCAGACACCGTGGGTAAGCATACTCATGAGAGGCAAACCCTGAGGGAAACTGGTCCCCCCAGGAACACTGTGCACAGACCAAGAGGCCCTAGTAAGGGCCTCAGAACAGAGACTGCATTCTCTATGGAGGGGAGTACCCACGGTTCCACACGCTTTCCAAATTCCATGGCTAATCTAAACACCTCCCTAACTTAACTCATCGTGTGCTCTCGGGGCTTAGATTGCTCATCCACAGCCTGATTTTCAGTCCTCTCCAAGGAGTACAGGGAAGGAGGACTCACGGCAGAAGGCTCAGCAGCTCTGGAGTACCCCAGGGACTAAAAGTCTCAGCCAAGTCTGAGAGGGGAGCTAGCCACCATTCCTGTCCCCAGGTTCTATGGACAGCTTGCTTTGAAATCTGAAAAGCTCAAAGTTTCCTAACCAGAATCAAGTGAGCAGGTCCCAGCACACTTAACTCATTTATTCATGGGAAACCAGTAAAATGTTAACAGCAGCAAAGGCAGATAGGAGCACAAACCAATTTTCTTTCTTTCATTTTTGTTTTTTCAAGACAAAGTTTCTTTGTGTAGCCCTGGCTGTCCTGGGAACTCACTCTGTAGACCAGGCTGGCCTCGAACTCAGAGATCCACCTGCCTCTGCCTCCCGAGTGCTGGGATTAAAGGCGTGCACCCCCGCTGCCTGGCTTACAAACCAGTGTTTTAATGAATGCAGAGCTCATCTGCAGAGTGATAAGCAAAGATCACTAGGAAGATGCGTTTGTCCGTCTCTGCAGACTAGGGTCATCTGCACTGCCCTGGCTTTTCTGTAATTTAATGAGCCATGAAGTGACTCAATATCAAAGGTAGCTGAGACCCTCAAAGCAGCAGAGTTCTCAGCCTGTGGGTTGCGGCCCCTTGGCAAACCTCTCTCTCCAAAAAAAAAAAAAATTACATTATGATTAGTAATGGTAGCAAAATTACACTTATGAAGTAGCCACGAAAATAATTTTATGGTTGGGGGTCACCACAGCATGAGGAACTGTATTAAGGGGTGGCAGCATTAAGAAGGTTGAGAACCACTGCCCTAAAGGACTGGAGGACTGGTAAGGGCCCTCTGGATGATCCCCTAGTCCACTTAAAAACACCCGAGAATTGTTGGACCCATTTCTGAGCGCCTCACAGTTCCTATGGCAACACAGCATTCCAGATACGCTATGGTGGAAACCTTGTGTTTTGGTTTGGTCTGGGGCTTTTGCCTGTTTTGCTTGTTTGGGGTATATTATTTTGTTTTTGTTTGGTTGGTTCAATGAAGAGCCTCATACATATTCAGCAGGTATCGTATCACTGAGCTCCACCCCAGTGCCCTGCAGTATTGATTGCTGGAATGTGTTTTATCTCAGCCATGTGCCAATGTTTACCATTGATTTTCCTCTTAAGTACTTTCAGATCTTTCTTTTCCTTTCCTTTCCTTCCTTTCTTTCTCTCTCTCTCCTCTCTCTCTCTCTCTCTCTCTCTCTCTCTCTCTCTCTCTCTCTCTCTTATGTGTGTGTGTGTGTGTGTGTGTGTGTGTGTGTGTGTGTGTGTGTGTGTGCAGGCGCGCGCGCCTGAGCGTATTATAAGCACCATGTGGGCAGGAGCCCTCAGAGGTCAAAAAAGTGCATCTAATCCCCCTTGAACTGGGCTACAGGAAGTTGTGAGCTGCCATGTGGATACTGGGAACCAAACCCAGGTCTTCTGCAAGAGCAGTGAGTACTCTTAACCACTAAGCCGTATCTCCTGTTCTCACTTTAGGTATCAGGATATAGAGACCCAAATTCTTATCTTTATAGAAACAGCATTGTAGGTGGATGAATGGCTGAGTTCTACAGCACTTGCCTAGCAAATCTGAAGCTCTGGGTTCAAGGCTCAGTGCCACATAAGGCGTGTGTGTGTGTGTGTGTGTGTGTGTGTGTGTGTGTGTGTGTGTGTGTTCTCTCTTGGACCTCAAGAACCCGAGTTATCTGCCCTTCAGTTTGAAAGACACTGCCTTATAGTGAGCCCATGAGATCATGGGGAGGATTGGACCCATTAACCAGATGAGGTTATAAGGGCTCCAGATGTGGGATCCATGGCAGGGCTGTGCTGGAGACAGGGATTCTGCCTGACACAACACTGATCCAGCCCCACCCCTCCGTCCTGGAGTCATACTCCCTGAGGCCAGACTTCAGTACCTCCCTTGCTCCATCCCATCCAGGCTGTGCTCTGAATGACTCACCCGTGGGCCTGGCTGCCTACATCTTAGAAAAGTTCTCCACCTGGACCAACCAGGAATACCGTGAACTGGAGGATGGAGGCCTGGAGAGGTGAGCCCCCCACCCCCCACCCTGCTGCAAGTCCCCAGACTCTGCCTTTCTCTGCCTACCATTCATCCCTGATCAAGACCCTCTACAGGGGGCCAGCAAGCTCCTCTGTCTTAGGTGTCCTACACCTGTGATCAGGGGACCCTGTGTGGAGGATGGAGGAGGTAGAGGCACCCACAGGACAAATGTCTAGTTCAGCAGGTTAGTGACACAGAGAATTCAGAACTCAGTAGCTCCTCCTACAGCCAAGGAGTCTCCAGGACAGTGAGCAACCTTTATTGCAGAATAGCAGGACCTCTCAGCCAGAGCCTCTACAGACTAGACTGTAGGTTAGATTCTGTGGGGGCCAATCAAGAGAGGGCTGTGGGAAAGACTGGGGAGCCAGCCCATCTCCAGAGTTCTGGAAGATGCACCATGCACAGGGCTTAAGTCTTGTTCCTAAGCCTGGTGCAGGATTTTCTCTGACCCACAGTCCCCAGGGTCTATCTATGCCTTTCTTTCCCTGTTCAGTGACACAAAGCACCAATCCCAGAGCTGCGGGCAGGACTCCCCTGCAATTTCTACCACCTCCTAAATGCTATCACATTTGAAAGACCTCTATAGAGTTGTCTATTCATGAGGTCAGAGCCCTCGGGATCCAATCACTTCCCCAAAGCCCAACCTCAGATCGGTTTCTGAACCTTTTGTGGGGCACCTCGTATCCAAATCATCACATTGATTGACATGCTGTCTAAGTAAGGGACCCATGTTTTCTTCTACTGCCCTTGACTTTGATGTCCCTACATGTCTTCCAAGTGTCCTCATTCTATTTTTACCAGAGGGCAAACTGAGACACAGGCATGGCAAACTATTGCCAGCATCCCAGGGCTCTTTAATACTGTGGCCAAGACTAGCACCACAGTCCCTTGACTCTTGGTTCATGACCTCTAGCCAGTTTGTGTGCTGGCTCCTGAGGAACACCCCAGAGACCATCCTCTTCCTGCTGCCAGGAGTTTCAAATCCCTTAGGATCCTAAGAGAGGAAAACTCATTACTGTGAGAAACCTGGAATCTTGAACTGGGGGCAGGAGAATGATCACTGGAGGGTAGGTAGTACTAGCAGAGACCTGGAAAGCCCAGGAGGAAGTTGGAGGTAAGAGCTGTGGTGTGCACCTCTGGGCTCAGAGCACCTGGGTGTTCAGGTGCTGCCTGGTGGGGAGACAGGGGTGGTGTTACTTCTCATGAAGACAGGTGGCAGAGATGAATTCATGAATGAAAGCTGCTGGAGAACCTGGCGCTTGCTGCCTACCATGGTTGGCACTCTGAATTAGCTATCCATCCAGAAACAGGCCCTTGACCCAGGAATGGCTGACTGATTCCTGAGTCTGTGGGAGAAAATGGCACTAGTCATTTGAGGAAGGCCAGATAGGCCTGGACAGCCTGTGCTCTTTCCCAGGAAGTTCTCCCTGGAAGATCTGCTGACCAACATCATGATCTACTGGACAACAGGAACCATTGTCTCCTCCCAGCGCTTCTACAAGGAGAACATGGGCCAGGGCATCATGGTCCATAGGCATGAGGGGTAAGCCGGGCTGAGCAGGGAGGGGGCCTCTGGGGATGGGGCTCCGCCTGGGAGCCACTTGGCCTTTAATCCAAAGAAGGTGTGATGGCATCAGATGTTCTCGGGATCCTGGTCTGCTGGGACAGAGGCACTGGGATCTGCAAGGTCCACATGGAGACCTTCAGGTGACATCAAGACTAGCAAAGTGGGCATTTAGAGGCTCATGTGACCTGTCACATGGTCCTTCCAGGCAGAGAGGGTCCTTAGTGAGTAGAAGCAGAGGCTGCAGTAGAATGGCTGACTGATTCCTGAGTCTGTCCTTGTCATTAAGGTTCCACATGGCCTCTCTCAGCCCTGAGGCTCTAGTCCTGCTTTAGGGACATGAGAACAGGACCACAACCTGAATCCATAGCAAATCCCTCCTCTTCCTCACAGGATGAAGGTCTTAGTGCCCACCGGCTATTCCGCCTTCCCTTCCGAGCTACTGCATGTTCCAGAAAAGTGGGTGAAGGTCAAGTACCCCAAGCTCATCTCCTACTCCTACATGGAGCGTGGGGGCCACTTTGCTGCCTTTGAAGAGCCCAAGCTTTTGGCCCAGGACATCCGCAAGTTCGTGTCCCTGGCAGAGAGGCAGTGACGCCCTCAGGAATCAACCTACAGCCTCGGCAGCAGCTCTGGAGTCTCCCCAGTCTCCCTTAAGAAAGATGCCCTCTTTCTAAAGGAAGTTTTTGTGCCCTGCAGGCTCTGGAGCCTGGGTACCTCCTCCACCTCTCCCCACCCTCATGTTAGGTTACAGACCTTAAAACACATGGCCACGGGGCTGGAGAGATGGCCCAGAGGTTAAGAGCACTGGCTGCTCTTCCAGAGGTCCTGAGTTCAATTCCCAGACACCACGAGGTGGCTCACAACCATCCATAATGAGATCTGGTGCCCTCTTCTGGCCTGCAGGTGTATATGCAGACAGAACACTGTATACATAATAAATAAATAAATCTTAAAAAAAAAAAAAAAAAAAAAAAAAAACCCACAGCCACTTTAAGAACCAGGTGCCCCGGCTCTGGAAAGATCTAGCCATGCTTTCCTGCAGAAGAGGGAGTAGTCTGGGGTAGAGAACTAACAAGTGGTTTGTCCTCTCCCTCCACCGTGCGGCTGTGGGCAAGCATTAGACCCATAATCCCCTGTTGCCAAGACCCAAGGCAACTTTGAATTATGATTTCACTCTTATCTAGTGCCTTCTTGCCCCCCTGACTCCTAGCACATAAGCTAGATCTCCCGCCATGGAACCTCCCCGACTTGCAAAGAACCCCCTTTTGTCCCACATCCTCAGAGGCTCTCTGGCTTGCTCCCCCCCCCCTTGAAGACCCCCTTGTAGGTCATAACACACCTAATAAAGCTTTTCTGGAGCAAAATTCGCCTCAGTACCTGTCTGTGACACCTATGCATCTTTCCTAAAGTTTACCTGACATGCTATATACCTGTGTTAAGCATGGTAGCCTTGGTGACAAATGATTTTACTTCTAAGCACAGCTGGACCAAATGGCATCCTCTATTCCAAAGCAACCCACACAGAGCTCTCCTCCCAGAGGTGAGCTCACACTTCTGTGACCCACACGGGGCTCTCCTCCCAGAGGTGAGCTCACACTTCTGTGACCCACACGGGGCTCTCCTCCCAGAGGTGAGCTCACACTTCTGCCCTTGTGCTTGGTGCCTACTGGGCCCTGTGAAATCAGTCCAGACTGGCAAAGACAGGGAAAGCAGCTGGAAACAGTCACTGGCCAGCACCACCCTCGACCAAGCACCGCCCCCAGAGCAGTGCTGGCACCATCCAGACACTCACAAAGCTCAAGCCCATGGGGAAAAGGCAGTGTGGCTGACTGGCTAGCTCACGTGAAACGGCCCTAATAGTCAAGGGCCACCAGACCTGAGAAAGAGGGATGGCAGATCCTGCCTGGTCCCTGTGGTAAGGGACCCTGTCTGTGGTAAGGAACTGAGGCAGGCCCAAGTAGTTATCTTCTGATTTAACACAGCTCTGCCCTGGCCCACACCTTCACTCAACCTTGGACTGCTAGGTCCCACATCCCCATATGTGTCTTGCCACACCCCTTCTGTTCCATGTGGGCACCCAGCCTCATCCTGTCCCCTGTGGCCCAACCCCAGATCCCACTCTGGAAAAAGAAAGAGCTACCAAAGACAGAAGAAATGAGGGGGGGGGGCACCCTCTTCTCTCTGTGCCTGCCACTCTGTCCTCCCATAATCCCAGGGTACCCTTGACAATGCCCCTCCCAAGTTGGACAGAGCAGACACATCAGGTAGAAGCTAGATGAAGCCTCCATGGACATGAAAAGCCACACACTAACCCGGAAGACGAATGAGAGGTGGGATCTTACCACCAGCCCAACAGGTACTTTATTGATGGTTCTCAGTGTCCCTGCCTACTGCGGGGTGACCCCAGTCACGGAATTCTGGGCAACAGGATACAAAAACCCAGAGACCCAGCAGGTGCCGAGGTGGCTATATAGCCAATGGGCAGGAATCTGCTGCCCTGCTGCTGTAAGCCAGGACAAGATACTTCCTTGTCTCTACATCTGTCCACTGGTCCCTGGAAGGGGCTGTGGAAGCATTGTAGGACCCCACATGAGCTCCGTCTCAGGCTCGCTGGTCTTTGCAGAAGGCTAAACAGTGTCCAGGGCTTTCCTGGACACAACTCTGCATCAGCCCATAGTCTCCAACTCCGATCAGCCTGAGGGCAAAATTCCAACACATGATCTTGGCTACAAACCACTAAGGACATCATCCCACCTACAGAGCTGTACCCTCGCTGAGTGGATGGGGGGATAAGTGTGCATATCCTCATGTGACCACACCGAGGGAGGGGGCTGCAGGTGCTCCCCACACTAGAACCAGAAAGGCAGCCTACAGAAGGCTCGTAGGGACAGCAGCCCTACCGTATCCCCTCAGCCAAGGGCCCCAGCCCCCATGACCCACTGGTTCCCTCTTCTCACAAGACAGGAGCTTTAAAACAGGAAAGAACTCAAGAGCCTGCCTGGGTTCCAGTCCCTTCTGTCCCTCGGGCCTCCTGAGTGCCCAGAGCCTGCCAGACCAGCAGCTTGCCCACTCTCAGGATTCCTGGTAGGCACAGGCCACACTGTCGCTAGGATTCTGAGCCACAAGCTGCCCAGGAAGAGTCCCACTGATGTTACGGATGGCACCATAGGTCTGCTGCTGCTGTGGGGACAGCGCTGTCCTCTCTGAGGCCAAACCATTCAGAATCCGAGGCACATAGGGCTGTTGGCAAATTCAAGAGTTAGGTCTTAGATGGTGGCAGGTCTGACATCCCACATCCTGGTCATGCCCCGGGCTACCCCTCTTTCTCTCAGCAGGTGGATACATTAGCAAGAAATGGCATTCACATGGAGCGTCTTGCTGTGGGATGTTCTGTATGGCAAATGTGTTGCTAATTAGTCAATAAATAAAACACTGATTGGCCATTGGCTAGGCAGGAAGTGTAGGCGGGACAAGGAGGAGAATAAAGCTGGGAAGTGGAAGGCTGAATCAGAGAGACACTGCCAGCCGCCATGATGAGAAACAGCATGTGAAGATGCCGGTAAGCCACGAGCCATGTGGCAAGGTATAGATTTATAGAAATGGATTAATTTAAGCTGTAAGAACAGTTAGCAAGAAGCCTGCCACGGCCATACAGTTTGTAACCAATATAAGTCTCTGTGTTTACTTGGTTGGGTCTGACGGCTGTGGGACTGGCAGGTGAGAGAGATTTGTCCTGACTGTGGGCCAGGCAGGAAAACTCTAGCTACAGCGTCTGGATCCCTAATAAGTTAACTGAGCATTTCTCAGCAGCCAGAGCAAAATGGAAAGCAGTTTACAACCCAGTTCTCATGATCATATGAAGAAACTAAGTGACTTCCTCTAGTTCTCAGAGGAAACACTCCTTCCTGTTCCTGTACTCTGGTTGACCATCTCAGTTTATTTGGGAACCAGGCTGTCTTTAGAGACATGTGTCTGTCGGCTAGGCATCCTCCCAGGCCCAGGCTGGAAATGAGGGCTCTCCAGCTTCTGCCCAGCCTGCTCTTCTTGCTGGCTGGCAGGGCCAAGCGTGTCTCTGGGTAATTATGCTCCTCAATACCGACTTATCAGGGGCTTGTCCAAGGACAGACCTTAAGAGGAGTCTTCTACTACCTTGTTAAGACTGCCTGTGTTATGATTATCTTGTTATGCCTACCCTGCAACCATGTCTTTCTTTCAGGAAGTTGTTAGGACTAACTTGTTATGCTTATGTTCTGCTCCTATAACCCTGCCCATTTTGCCCACCAAATCCCCCATTTGAAAACCCCCTATCCCTGAGCCTTGTCTTCTCACATCCAATGCTGACCTCTCAAATCCTACCTTAGAGGGAGGCAGCCCATGTACATGAATAAAAATGCTTGCTTTAATTAATTTGGCTATAAAAAAAAAAAAAAAAGAGTAGTCTTTTACCCCAGGAAGGTAGCTGCTGGAAAGACTAAGACTGAGGAGGCTAGCCAGTATCCTAACCTCACATCCACCACCTGGGGCCCAAGGGCCACACTCTACCTTGAGGTAGCACCCTGGAGGACAGAGGCAGGAAGAAAAAGAAGAAAGGGGCTTTTCCAACCTGGCACCCCCTTCTAGAACAGGTGCTCTATGCATTTGCTAAACTCAAAAGGGCCTAAGTCTGCGGTCTCCCATAGCTGTTAGAGGACCTCACACAGAGACTTGAATAACCTGACAAAGCTGCATCCAACCACAGGACCTCCTGATACAGACGCACTAGAGGCCCAACCCTCCAGGCGGTAGGGCTGAGCGAGGGCAAGTGGGCGGGGCACTGTGGTCCAGAGAAAGATGGGCATCCATCAGGCAGAGCAAGCCTCAGTGGCCAAGGCGGCTTCTGGTGTGCAGGTGCAGCATCCTGACTGACTAGGGAGTCCTTTCAACTGACATTAATTCAAAACTAGCCTGCCAACTGACCTGGGATTTGTTTTCAGCTAGAACTATTCCAGCACACCCCTGTGGCTTCTCTGGATGGGACCTTACAACCGGAGTGACAAAGGGCAGCTACCACGTAGAAACACGGATGCTTACTGTGAATGATGAGGGCACGTGGGCCTCTGCTTCGCTTCCTCTGTCACTTGATGACTCGTCTGTCTGTGGACAACAGCAGAGACACAATGAGGAACAGAACCGGTCTCTCTGAACTAAGGTCCCCCAAACAAACAGACTTGTAACCAGCAGAATAATGGATCCAGCCGGCACCAGGCTCCCAGCTCAGCTCCACTGAGGGAGGGGGACAGGGGCCCGGAAGAGGGGAGGGAAGCCACATCATCACACCCCACTTCCAAAGAAAAGCTGGAGGAGGCTGGTACTGCAGTCACGTGGGGAGGGAGGAAGAAGAGAGAGCCGCGGCTGGCCTGAGCCGCCTGAGGCAGGCAGACAGCTGGGTACCTTGTAGTTCCAGGGGCTCAGGTGCTTGAAGCATCCAAAGCAGGTGTAGAGCAGGCAGGCCAGAATGGTGAGCAGCACCACCACGAAGGTGAACAGAGTGGCGGGGGCCTTCAGACCTGGGGACACAGGCGCAGCCTTGAGGCAGGGGACTTCCTATCTTGCTTGCTCTGTTGAGGAAGGCGCCAGGCCTGGTGCTCAAACTGTGGGTGATATCTCCCTAGCCTTCACCACTGCCCCTCCCTGCAACAGCCAGAATGGTGTCCTCAGAGCCAAGAGCACACAGGGTGTAGGACCCACGTGATGGCTGGAATCACCCCTAGTCAGATTTTGGACCCTGGGACACCAAGTAAGTGGTCATTGACAGTGAGATTGCTGGGACAGATTCCCCTCAGCCTCTAGAGCCCGGGGCAAGGCAGGACAAGGGCTCTCTGGGGGTGACTTAGAGTCTCATCTCCTCTGACTCAGTGCCCCCAGAACTGGTACAGGAACTGTCTTCTCCGTGGGGATTTTCTGGAGCTCTGTCACACCTGACCTAGCTCAGTAGCCAGGTTGTCAACACCATACCAACCAGCCCTCACCCAGGAGCATCCACACTGGTGCTGTGAAAGCAGTTAGGGACCCAACTGGCTGGTGGGCATGTGGGAAAATGAGGCCCCTGGCACTGGGCACAGCACAGAATGCCCCTTACCCAGACGAAGGAAGGAGAAGAAGAAAAGCCAGAAGAGGCAGAGGATGGGAGCAGCCAAGGCCTGGTTCACAGCGGCAAAGTGGATCCTCTTCTCCAGCTTGGCCGGGAGGTAAGCGAAGTACAGGTTGTGCCGGTCTACCAGATGCTTGAGCAGGATGTAGATGAGGCCTGCCAAAGAGGGACTGTGAGCCAAGGATCCTACCGAGCCACAATCACAGCACATGGGAGGCAAAGGCAGATGCATCTCTGTGAGTTCGAGACCAGCCTGGTCTACATAGTGAGTTCCAGGACAGCCAGAGCTACATGATGAGACCCAGTCTCAAAAAATAAACAATTTTTTTAATCTTATTATCTATTTATGTGACTGTGTATGTTTGTATATGTGACCAAGGGGTGAGAGAGGTCAGTTCTCTGAGGCCGGAGTTTTCAGGCAGCTGCGAGCTGCCTGATGTGGGTGCTGGGAATCAAACTCAGGTCCTCTGCAAGAACAATATGTGCTCTTAACCACTGAGCCATCTCTCCAGCCCTTAATTAGTTAAGTAATTAAATTATATTAAAAAGACCCAGCCATGGCAGCACAGCCAGAACCCCAGTGTTTGGGAGGCTGACGCAGAGGGTCCTGAGTTTGAAGCTGATCTGCGCTACAACATAGCAAGACTTTGTCTTTATAAAATATATGAGCTACATGATGATGATGATGATGATGATGATAACAATCATGACTGGGAGGTAGCTCAGTCCCTGAAGGTGCCTGCTGCAAGCATGAGGTCCTGAGATCAGACCCAGCACCGATGTAAACACCAGGCATGGGGGACACATCTGGAACCACAGCCCTAGGGGAGGAAGTGGAGAGAGGCAGGTCCCCAGAGACAGTCAGTCTAGCCGGTTAGAGGGCTCTATGTTTACACAGAGACCGTCCAAAAATATAGTGCAAAGTAATAGAGAAAGGTATCCAAGGGTAGGCACAGTGACACTCAGTCCCAGGACAGGAGGCAGAGGCACGGGGGCGGGGGCAGATCGTTGGGAGTTTGAGGCCCATGTAGTCTACATAGTAAGTTCTAGGCCAACCAAGGC